ACGCGCGAGCGCCCCGCCTGTGTTGTGCGGGCCCTGCGCTTCACGTTTCACCCTAGAAAATCTTTTCCCAGCAGCTTTAGAGTCAGGCTCAAGCTACCGAGTCGTTGTCATTAACCAGAAAACTGCAGGCGGTGTGATGCAAGTCACTTTCTCCGGTAGCTAGCACACGGCTTTGTCGCTGTTACAGTTGCCGACTGTCGCTCATTGTTTCTGTTAATGTCATAATGTGACAAGGCTAGGCTCCTGTCTTGAAAGAGTTTGCAGCCTAGTTGGGAACACTTATAAATAAACAGTGGCAGTAAATACTCTGCCAGAGCTTTGAAAAGAGTACGGAAAGGCCCTAGGTTTTATTGGGAGGGGGAGGGAAACAAGGACCTGTTAAGAAAGTGTCCTATGTGAAATCTAAAACAGAACAGACTTACAGAGAAAAGATTGGTGCTTGCCAGCCGGGATGGCTGAAATAAGTAAAGAGGGTCAAAGGGTACAAACCACCAGTCAAAAATAAGCCCTGGGATGTAACTCGCAGCGTGGTGACCATAGTTAGTACTGCATTGTATATTTGAAAGTTGGTAAGAGAGCAGCCCTTTAAAGTTCTCATGACAAGGAAAAAAATTGGTAACTGCGTGGTGATGGATGTTCACTAGGCCTATTGTGGTGATCGTATCACAGTACATACAGATACCGAACCACCATCATGTTGTACATCTGAAATGAATGTTGTATGTCCATTATATCTCGTTTTTTTTTAAAGGATGATGGTAGTAGAAGAATCACTTTTTGACCATTTTCATCATGATAATGCACACAAGAACATGCCAATGAATGCTAAAATTAGCATGTGATAATGTACTGAGGAAGAAAATTGTACATCATTTCAAAGTATCTCCCTGAAAAATACTTATTAATCACAAAAGAGAAAATGTTTCTGCAAGAGATACCTGGCAGGAGAAAAAAAAAAAAGAAAAGAAAAGCTTTATAGAGAAAGGGCTGTTTCACGGTTATTGGTGGTAACCTTGCCAGCTGTCAGTGGAGTCAAGAGGGAAGCCAGAGGGCTGTATCAGTGGGAGAGAAGGTGGAGACGTGGGTATGTGTATGCATTTGCGCATTAATTTGGAGATAGTTCCTGCTGGTGTTTTAGTGGACAGCTGGAGGGAATCTTGGCCATGGAGGGACGCTGGGAAGTGAGGGGTAGCCAGGGAAAGTGTGCAAAAAGGGAGGGGTTTAGAAGGAAAGAGGTGTGAGAGCCTGTGAATAAGATTGGAGGAAAAGACAGGTGATTCAGCAGAGTGAGGGTCAACCACAGGAGCTGAGTCTTAGTGAAAGGGAAGGAGACTACAGAAGATAACGAGGGATAGTTCACGAGGGCACGCTCTGAGGGACCCAGAAAAATATAAAGGCCAGGAAAAAACGGTGATTGCTGGAAGAACACAAAGCAGGAGCTGTGTGAGAGACCCTGGGGATAGACACTGACAGGTAGCCACGCGTTAGATGTGGCTGGCAAGGGAGCGGGAGACGCTGCCTGGTTCAGGAGATTGGATGGATGACTGTTGCTCTTTTCTGAAATACAAACCAGAGAACAAGTTTGGGCTTGTTTAGTTTTGTCCACGTTGACTGTGAGTGGCCCTTGACGTAACCGTGTAGAGGGAGCCGTTTGGATCTGGAGTTCAGGTAAGTGTTCCGGCTGCAGGTAGAGATTTGGCAGGGGGCTGTTTGAAGTCATGGGGATATTGTGTGTGCGCGCGCGCACGTGTGTGCTGCAGCGTGAGAAGCTCACCCCAACCTTTAGGCACCAACAAAGCAGACAGAGAGAAGACCGGAGAGCCCTGCTGTCCAGTCCTCACACCTGCAGACCTGCTGCCCCACTGCTGACGTAGTCTCTTCCCGAGCCTTGGTGTCGCTGCCTCCCTCACCTCTTTCGGGTCCCTAGTTACTGGGCACCTGCAGTGACTCTTTCCTTGATCATCTTATTTAAAATCACAGCCAACCACAAATACACACATGCCCTTACTTAATTTTTCTCTGCAGTACTTACCACAGTAGATTTTACTGTTCAGTTTATCACAGCAAACCACTCCCTCACTCGATGGAAGCTCCACAGGGCAGGAACTTTTGTCCTGGTGCCTAGAACAAGGGTTGGCGGGTAGGAGGTATTCAGTACGCATGAAATCACTCGTCTCAACAGTGGAGCTCGTGGAGGAGTCAGTGTCTGTGACCTGAGCATCAGCGCTCAGTGCTAGTGCTGTGGTCACTGTCTTCTGCCTGGGCTGTTCAGGGTGCCACTGATGGTGACGGCTTCACGTACTTTTTTACTATTTCAGCCAGCAGTGTCTGTTGGAAATGTCGGCCAGCTGGCAATCGATCTGATTATTTCCACGCTGAATATGTGTAAGATTGGTTACTTCTACACCGACTGTCTTGTGCCGATGGTTGGGAACAATCCATATGCGACTGCGGAGGAAAATTCAACCGAGCTCAGTACAAACGCTGAAGGTATGTTGTGTCCTGCTAGAAGGTAGAGCTGTTTTAACCCAGAAATAGGCTCTGCCATGTCTGTTCTGCAGCGCACACTTGGAGCCAGCTTCGCGCAGAGTTTACGGCCCAGTCACCATGTCCCACGCTTACATGCGTCCTGGCTTCAGTTCTTAGCCTTTCCTAAAAGGCAGCTCTCTTGAGAGATGTGATATATTTATTATCCTTGGAGAGGATTTGAGATTTCTGGGTTTTTTAACCTGGAGTTTTTCCCTCTTTTATCCTCAGTTTTATTTTCTGTTCTTGCCGGCATGTGTAATGCGTGAGCATCACTAATACCAGGGAAGGAATTGCCCCGGGCTCGGTCCTGTGTGTTAATGTCATCACGCAGGCCTCGGGGTCGGCCCACACTACTGTAGCACCCATAATGATACAGTGCTGTAGGGCTCAGGGAGGCTGAGCTGCCTAATTCTGCCAGTGGGGGCGCGCTTTCCCCGTGCCCTCAGTCCCCAGAATTCCTCACTGGATGTCAGGCGTGACTAACAGGGCGCACGGTTCACGTCACACTGACTGCCGTGCTCACATGGGGCTGCACCGTGAGAGGGGAGGAGACGCCCTTGATCTGGAAGCACCGGCGCCTCCAGGTACTCGGTGCAGTGGCCTCTCGTCTCCGGTTCCCTTCTAGGGTAAAAGCCAACAGAGAGAGACACTGGTGGACTGGAAAAAAATGAGGAAGCATGTTTTTTGTCAGTCTTATTAGCCATGCCATTAATTTGTGATAATGAAATGCACTTTAGTAAGAGGACTTTGTTAACACAAGATAACTTTAATTCCTGCCTTAAAGGGTAAAGGACTATAAATGGTGGAAGTACAGTTTATATACTTAGGCTGGTAACAGCTATCACCTACATGTTCTGGACATTTACATGTATCAGTTCACTCAATGCTGCTCCTCCCTGGGTGGTTTCGTAGCTCAGGGAACCGCTGTGCAGAGAAGTTAAGGTCATGTGACTGGTGGAGGCACCTGACCCCTGAGACCTGCTTCTCAGGCACCTTCACCCTCTGGATGACCCACTGGCTTTCCTCTGGCACAAATTGCAGCAGGTCGATGGCATATAGTCCTTTAATCCACTTAATTGATTGTTTAGATGAGGTATTTTGAAACAGATTATAGACATCACGACATTCCACCCCAAGTATGTCAGTATGCACCTCGTGTCTTTACGTTTCCTTACATAGCCAAAGTACCATCACGTTTCTCAAAATTAGCAATTTCTTATCTCCGTGTGCCCTCTGCATTTTCAGATTGGTCCAATTGACCCAAAACTATCCTTAAAGTTGGTTTGTCCAAAGCCACACCCACAGTACCTCTGATTGGCGTGCCTTTGCAATCTCTGTTACTATAAGAGAGTCTGGTTTTTTCTCCTTCTTCATGAAACTCAATAATTGAAGAAGGAAAAACTGGACACGCTGTCCTATAGAATGCCCCAGCTTCCAGTCTGTCTGATCACTTCCTGTGGTGTCACTTGGTGTGTTCCTCTGGTCTCTGTGTTTCTGAGACTGGAGTTAGGATTAAAGGCGTGATTATTTAAAAGCTAAATGTTTATGTGTTACATTACATCAGAAGAAAAAAGTACTAGGAAACAGGATCTTAACAACAAGAAAAGGAACTGGTGGGGCACTGGTGAGAACATGAGTGCTGCTGCTGTGGAAGGTGGTGCAGTTTCTTTTAAAGGTCAGCCAGCCCACCCCCTACAGAACAGCCTCTTCCCTCCAGGTTCCTTGCTGCACTGTGCGTGTACATGAGAGGCAGGTGAGAGGCCTCAGCCCCTCTTCCCCAGTTTTATGCCGTTTCCCTAGTACCTGAACGTCCTGCTCCAGCCTCCTTTGGCCCGAGCATACCTGGTGGTCACCAGGCTTGTGGGGGCAGCACGGCGCCCGGTCACACCGCAGCATGTCAGCGCAGTGAGACAGAGAGACATGAGCTACCCAAGGACTGGCCCAAGCCCGGGCTTATCTGTAGTCTCCGTGCGGTAATTAAAGGCGTACTCCTTTGCACATGTGCCCTTGGAGACTGTCCTCGGGTCACTTCAGAGCTGTCCTCCTTGGCGGGGATGTCTTAATCATCTGTAAACTGGGCCCCTTGTAGAATCTGGTGAAAACCGTGGGTTCTTTTCACAGAAAAAATGCACACACAGTTACTCACAGAAAAATTTCATGTTATTTCAGTTCTTTCAAAAACTCCTAAAGAACAAATGTTCTACTCAGGGATTTTATGGCTCCGCTTTTTATTCTGTCCCCAGTGAGCGCTGCTGTTCTCTGAAGAGGGGTGAGTCAGAAACCATAGCTGTTGTTCAGAGTGATCGCATTTGTCGTAACGCTACGACTTTTCCGGGGACTGCTTCTCTGGTTTTCAGTCAAAGAAGATAAAAATTTTTGATACTTTCTTGCAGTTAACTTTTCAAAAATGAATCTATTCCATAGAATAAAGCCCACAGGTGAATTTTGAGGTAACTTCAAAGTGTTTTAACTGAATGATATAGTAGATATGTTCTATGTTTTAATTATTGAAAATAGTTAGATACAGAACTTCTAAAATGAATGATGAAGCTGAATTACATTTGTATGATGCCTTCATTCTGACTGCCGCGTGGCTTCATTTTCTTCCTGTACTTGTAGTGTATGCGCTGCCTTCAAGGAAACTAGTAGCTCTTCAGTTAAGATCCATTTTTATTAAGGTTAGTATGTCATTTTTGCCTTTTTTAATCTATTAAAGTAAAATATGAGAAAATACGGGGTCAGTAAGATTCAAAAATTACTTCTTTTTCAATATTTGTAAGTTAAGGTCTGATTTGATAAAAAAAATTTATAAAATTTTATAGTTGTTACCGTTATTTCATGATTATATTAAAAGGAATTGGGACGTATAGCTTAGGTCTTCTTTTTCCCAATTCAGGTAGCATTGGTGGAAAAATTTAAGCATATGAATATTACAGGTTTATTCTTTTGTATTACATTTCAAACCCATGGCATCTACATAAAAATTATGTATATATCAAAATAGAACCTGGACCCAGGTTCTTTCTTCTTCCACTGCCACCTCTCTGGTCCAGCCACTAGCACCCTGCACCACCCGTGCCCCACAAGCAGCCTGTGAGCCCTCACCTCCCAGTCACATCACCTCACTCCTGTCTTCAGACCCTCCAGTGGCTTCCAGCCTCAGAGTGGATTCACTGACCCCATTACGGCCTGTCAGGCCCTGTGTCCACATACAGGGCAGCCACCAGACACGTGCACCCGTTTAAATTTTGATTCATTAATTAAAAGTAAATAAAACCTAAAATTCAGGCCTTCCGTCACAGTAGCCACGTGTGGCATTCGGTTATCCCCGAGGCTCCGTGGACAGCGCAGTAACTGATCCTCCATCCAGCCCCTGCGGGTTCACACGGGCTCAGCTCGCCCTTTGTCACAGTCCTGGCCCTGGTTCCTCTGCCAGCACGGCTGTCCCACTGGACACCTGAATCATGGGCTTCCTTCAGGCTCTGTAGGTAGCACCTCATGGAAAGGCCTTCCCTGCCTCCCTTCCTGCCGTCCTACCCTGGGCTGGTTCCCGTCGCAGTTCATCACAACCTGCATGTCACATGTTGTCACCTGCCTCTCCTAGAGGGGACACTCCCCCAGAGAAGTGAGGGCCCATCCCTCACTCACAGCCCTGATTCTAGATCACAGCCTTGCATGCAGAGATGCTCTCGAGACATGTTTGCTGGGTGGACCGAGGTCCCATGTGTTCAGGACGTGTCCCCCTTTCCAGGGCCGTCTGCTGTGCCCCACCTTGGCAGCTTGTCCTCTGAGTAGCGCCTGGCAGATGGACTCCGCCGTCCGGCTTCCTTCACTTGACACTCTCTTTGTGAGGTGCATCCCTGTTTTGGAAGCAGAGCTCATTCGTTCCTTCTCACCTCTGTGGGGGAGTCTGTGTATAAATAAACCACAGTTTACCCATTGTACTGCTGAGGGAGCATTTGATTTTTTTTTTCAGTTTGAGGTCATCACGAATAGTGCTGTGGTTATTTTAATGTTTAATCAGAATCATTCTTCATTTTCCTTAGTTAACAATACTAGACCCGAAGTTGGGCAGTGAGAGGTGCAAACATTTTTACCACGTGCTGCGTGGCTTTGCTGTTGTCTAAGTGTCAGTGCAAGGTCAGGAATTCACATGGACGGTTCACACACTTCTAAGTGAGATGCTTGATAACCGGAAAGAGTGACTTCAGATTAGCAGACGTTCACTGAGCGTGACTGCTCTGCCCCAGTGCTGTCTGAGTACCCCGGGCATGTGCTTAATCAGACCTGAGTACCTGAGCCTTACGAGTCTTACAAGAGGGAGGTTCCGCTTCACAACCACAGCACCGTCACACACCTAGGAAAGTCGGCGCTCAGTTCTCGCATCCAGTATACTCAGACTTCCCCGCTTGTCCCCCAGGTAGCCTTCAGTTCTGGACCCAGGCCAGGCTCACATGCTGCATTTGGCTGTCATGTCTTTCAGCTGCTATTCCTCTGGGGGAGCTGGCCCCCCACCTCTCTCCTTCACGTACTGGCTCCGTGGAGGGGCCCAGGTCTGGGTTCACTAGTTGCTTCCTCCTGGTCAGACTCAGGGTGGACGTTTCTAGCTAGAACATCTCATCGATTACCATGTGGCGGTTTTTAAGCAGCACAGATCACTGAGTGGAGAACTGAGAAATGGGAGTCTAGGCTCCTCGCAATTCGTTTACTTCTTGTTGTGAAGATAAAGTGATGGTCATCACTTGTCACCTCACCTCCAGTCTAAGGACAGGAAGTGAATCTAAAAGTCACTGCAGTTTTGGTGTCTGTAAACCATCCCGCAAAGCTGGTGAAACACCCCATAGGCGCCTCTCATACTCTGAGGTCTGACTTTCAGATTTTCTTTTTATGCTGTCGTTGGTACACAAAGTATAAATCAAAGCCATTCTGTGAGAAGCTGCTCTCCTGGGTGAAGAGCAGCGGCTGTGCCAAGGTGGTGGTTCTCTCCAGCAGTCACTCCTATCACCGCAACGACCTCCAGCTCCGCAGGTAGGTTTTGCCTCTGGAAAGTCACTTTTGTTATGATTTGTACAGTGTTGTGATGATTTCTGTATTGAAAAGTTAATCTTTAAAGCCCTGTACATCCTGTCCTCTCCTCCCTGGAATTTAGAAAGAAGAAGGTAAAAGCAAGTCTGGAGAGGGGAGGGAGGAGAGTCAGGTGGCCCTCGCCACTCTGGGGCTGAGGCACCAGGGGCTCCAGGGTGAAGACAGGTGGTTTGGACCTGTGCTCTGATGGTTTGGTGCCTGGCAGCGTCGCAGGTCTCAGCTGATGGGGACAGAGGAGGAAGGATACCTAAGGTTTACTGGTGGATCACTTTTGAAAGATTGGATTGGTGTTTCTATTTCCATGCATTCTGCCATTTGTATTTGCAGAAATCCAGTTGCCTTTAAGTGTCGCTCCCAGACACGTCAGACTGAATTCCTAAATACAAAACAAAGTATGCAAGGGGTAGAAATAGAAACCGTTTTTTCGCATTAGCATTTGTGCACCTATAAAATCATGACGAATACCAGCCAAGAGTAGCCTTTCAAACTGAGTAGTTTCCGGGGCTCTCGCAGCAGGCCTCGTGGCCAGAGACAGGCAGAGCCGCGGGAATCTTCAAGCTGGCCCTGTCTTAGCTTAAGTTTTCCTGATTTTGCTAAGTCTCTTCATGCTCCCTCCTAGGTATGCAGAGTGCAAGCTGAATGCGTATGTATCTTTCTTACATGTTACTCTGCTGAGACGTGTGTTTGCCTGTGCAGCAGAATACATGGAGGACAAGATAATTTGTGTTATTAGACTTAATGTTCATATCTGTGAGTTTTTCGTGAATTACAAAGTTAATTATGTGATTATTTCTAGTACTCCCTTCAGGTACCTACTCACACCCTCTATGCAAAAAAGTGTTCAAAATAAAATGCAGAGCCTTAACTGGGAAGAAATGGAAAAAACCACATGCATTCCTGAGATAGACGAGTCTGAGCTTTGTGTCCGTATTCCTGGCGGAGGCATCACAAAAACGCTCTATGATGAAGGGTGAGTTTGCTTGGCTCCCACTTAATTTGAAAATGAAAGTAAGATAATTGGAAGAGTGCGCTGGATTACTTACTGGAACTTTGAAAATGTCTTTATTAAATAGGTTCTGTATTACATCCAGGAGAAGACAGATCTGGTTATAGAGCTGTCTCCTTGAAAAGCTGTGTTCAACGCTTTAGTGTGTGTGGCCGTCAGGGATCCCAGGACTTACTCTGCAGCCAGCCGTGTGTGTGTGTGTGTGTGTGTGTGTGTGTGTGTGTGTGTGAAAATGTACTAACATTGAAGTAACCATTTTTGTGTCCCAGTAAGTGGCATCCAGTAATTCACAGTATTGTGTACCCCTGTGTACCCATCACCACCATCCACTTTCAGAACTTTGTCCTTGTAAATAGATCTTTCTCTTTAAATAACAACTCCCATTTTATACCTGAAAGTCTACTCTCTTCCTGTTAGAACCATCATTTCTTTCACCTTTTGTGTTTTTCCTAGTCTGTGACCCATTCGTGGCTTGACTTCTTTTCCTGCCTCACTTACTCCCCAGAGTATAATGCGTCATTTCACCTCCTCTCTCACCACAGCCTGGGGCCCCGCCCCTGGCCATTCTCTGCACCTGCCCTGCAAACCAGCTTTGAGTCCTTCTGTTGTCCATCCAGGCCACATCATTTGTCACCTGCATGGCTGTGATACCACAGACTAGGGGGCTGAGACAACAGAAATGTATCTGCTCACAGTTCTGGAGGCTGGAGTCCGAAATAGGGGTGCCTGCACCACCGGGTTCTGGAGACAGCCTTCTGGCTTGTGGGTGGCCGCCTGCTGGCTGTACCGCCTCATGGCAGAGAGAGGGTCTCCTCTTGCAGGGCCGCCATCCTGCCGGATTAGGGCCCCACTCTTAGGACTTCTGCTGCTGAGTTACCTTCCCAGAGGTCCCTCCCAGAGCCCGTCGCCTTGGGGGTTCGGCGTCCACACCAGCATTTTGGAAGGACGTGGGCCCGCCCACAGCAGCTGCTGCCGAGGCCTCTCCAGCCCCTCCCCTCTGACCTTCGGCAGTGTCGCTGGAATTAGCTTCCTAAAAATCAGACCTGACCACGATGCCCCCCGAGTAAAGGCCCTCCAGCAGTTCTCCGCGCCTTGTGCGGACGCTGGTCCGTCTCCCGGGGTGGCCAGCCGGTCCCGGAGCCCTCCCCGGCGCTGCTGGCTCCCTCGGGCTGTCTCCTCTCCCGCTCTCATCTGCTCTCGCTGGCAGCAGCCTACCCAGCTCCCCAGAGCCGGCCTCGTGGGTCTGGCCCTTCCGCCGGGCATCCGCCCCCGGCTCTGCGCATTCACACTGGCTTCCTGCTTCTTCACGATCAGTCTCCTACCTCTGCTTCTGTCAGCAACAGCAGAGGAAGTGTTGTAAAAGACATGCTCCTCATAGAACACCTGGGAAATGTGGAATAGTCAAAAGAAGCAATACTTAGTACTCAGTTTTGTCACCCAGAGGGGGTTAAATGTTTGTATCTGCAAGACACTGCAGCTCTACCATCTGTAACTTTAATTACAGTTAAGGGTGTTTCTCACAAAGTGGATACTCTTCTGTCATCTAACACAGACCTTTTACATATCTGTAAGGAAACCCGTGCTTAATATCTACCAGGGAAGAGCAATTATAAGGAAATAAAATGTTACTGGTGTGTCATTTTCCTTTTTTTGTTGGTTATATTGTTTACCCAGACAATGTAGCAGTGTTTAAATTGTCCCTATTTTGAAAAGTCCTTTCTTCCCACTTCCCTGCCCCAACCCTGAAAATGAGTTGTGGTACATCTGCTCTCAAATGTGAAGGAGTAGAAGTTTAGTCTATTATTCTAAAGTAAAAACAAAAACAAAACAAAATAACTACTATATTGCAATTGTGTTATCATTATTTATAAATTACAAACAAATGAGCCGAATCGATCACTTGTATACCTTGCTTTCCAAGATTATATGTAATCTGTGAATTAGCCTTCATAATGGCTGTATCTCGTGTGCCAGACTTTAATGCCACAGAAAGTAATTAGGCATTCTCCACCTTCCTTTTTTACTGAGAGGACTGGAAAGTGGCATTAAAACTTACTGTTCTCTGGGTATCGGAGCAGCAGTGGAGGCCACAGCCCTGCACTTGTCGAGCTGGAGCCTTAGAAATGGAGGCACAGCAGGGAGGCTGGCCTCTCCTCCAAGGCCGTCACGCTGTAAGTGTGCAGGACTGCAGTCTTCTGAAGCTTCACAGCTCACTGGGCTCCCGGGAAGCTGGGAGCCCATGCAGCACTGGAGGACTGTGTGTGGAGATGGCCTAAGTGTGCTGACCGTCCCGGGTCCTGAGACCAGAGACCAGGTGCTGGGAGGAGGCTCCCAGGACACCTGAGGCCTCTGAACCGCGTCTCGGATCCGGGCTGAGGAACCCGGCCGCCCTTGGTTCTGGGGCGTGGTCAGTCCTGCACTCCAGCTGTGGGAGCACGTCCTCCTCACAGCTCTGGGTTCCGGGGTGCTAGGAGTGGCTTGTGCTCTTGTTGGCAAGCAGGCAGCTCTTGCGTTGGTGTCTCCATCTCATCACTGGGTTGAGGCCTTCAGAGCAGAACAAGTAGGAGACTGTTTCGGGGTCAGGAGGACCTGGGCTGATGTCCCACCTCTGCCACTTCTCGAGAGGAACTTGGAGCATGTTAACTGCCTCAGCCGCTCTGTCACCTCGGGGTGGCGGCCGGCACGCATGCTCGCGGCGCTGACCCGGGGCACCGTAAGCGCTTTGCCCCTGACAGCCTATGGGCAGGCTCCGCTGTGACCCCTCTCTCACATACGACTCGTCCAGGGGTTCCTTGTCCCCATTACTCCGAACTGATCAGCTGTAAATGGAGGCAATTGTAACCTCCTCAAGGGCTGTGGAGGGACTGAGTCATAGAGTCTGCAGGCAGTGCTTAGCACGTAGTCATCACTCAGCAGACGACATCTGTAAGTGGCAGCAAGCTCTCCCAGTTTTGCCTTCTGTGTAGACGGTTGACGACAAGGGTGTTACGTTCCTCAGTCGCTTTGCCACGTGCTTCTGGAAATCGCTGCCTGCTGCAGTGGGTTGAGGAGCCCATCAGAAGGGGGACGGTTTTTCACGTGGCCTGGGTATGAGGCACCAACGTGCATGCGCCCAGGGTGGGTGCTCCAGGGCTCCTGGTTTTGTCCCCACAGACAGAGGATACATAGTGATCTGTGACGTGCCATCTCCATGCCTAAAACCTGGCAGATCATCTGAGCTATAAAAACAGACACGCTGCACCCATCCTGTATCAGTAGAAGAACACTTAATCATCCTGTTTGTTTGTTGCAGCTGTTCTAAGGACATCCCAGTGGCGGTTCTGCTCAAGTTTGTTTCGGAAGGAGACAACATCCCAGATGCACTAGGTCTCGTTGAGTATCTTAATGAGTGGCTGCAGATGATCAAACCATGTGTAAGTTTTCTAAAACTTAACCCTCTGGCTTCTCTGGTTGTATGTTCATAAACTTGTGTTTTTATACACTGTGTAAGTAGACCAAATAAGTGAAAGTTTATGTAAATACAGGTATCTTTATGTAAAATTTAGGTTAAATGAAGTTTTGAAAAGAAGGCAGCTAACCAACCTGTTATCACAGCTGTTTTTCACTGAGGCTGATTTTCCAGAAAAGTAAAAATCTTAAGTTCATTGTTTTCCTTCTTCGTGTTACATTAATTATACTGGGCAGCTTTTTATAGGATAAAAAAAGTGACTTCAGGATTTTTTTTTTAGCAAAAGATAAGCTGTGTGAACAGTACTGTAGCTACCGAATACGCGTTATAATTAAAATGCTTTTCTCAGTTATAAAATAAGAGTGAATGCTCAGGGAAAGCAGGCTGTAGGCTGCTTTGTATGGTAGGTGACCGCCCTTTTAATTCATGCTTTTGTGAAGAACAGTTGATACAAATCATGCAGGACTGGTTTCTTCTTTGACTGCTGTTTCTCTTGAATTTGATTTTACTCCGCGGACTCCATTTACAGCCTTTCTGGCATATCTTTATTATTTGGAACTTGAGGAAATTTATCTTCAGTTGATAAGAAGACACAGCAATGCATTACTTTGTTTTTCCATTACAGTAGAGCCCAGCTAAGTGTCAGAACCAAAGGGAACAACAGCAAAGAGAGTTCTGTAATACACGTCAAAAGATTTAGCGGTAAAGCTGAAGGATGGAAGTATTTTGTCTTCCAGGTGCAGCGCGATGGCCCCACAGCGGCTGCCCTGCCGTGGAAGATCCCGAGTTCCTGGCGATTACTCTTCGGCAGTGGTCTTCCCCCTGCGCTTTTCTGATCTGTTTTCAGTTTTACACCTCATGTCCCAAGGCAGTTAGTACCAATACAGCTGTTAAACACCTATACAAAACTTGTATTCTCTGAAATCTTTACTTTTCACAGAAAATCTCCAAGTAAAAATAGATTAATAAAAGGTTGTTTTTGCCATGCTTTTCATCATATGCAACAAATGTAAATTTTGTGCAGTAAAATATTTCCTAAGTAATTTTGTCTGAAATGTGTCCTTTTATTTTTTCTATCTCAGACTTCTGTATTCATTTCCTATTTTGGGTATGACAAATTATCACACACTCAGTGGCATAAGACAAAGCAAATTTACTGCTGTACAGCTCCGGAGTCGGAGTCCACAGCGGGTCGCACCGGGCTGACGAAGGTGCTGGCAGGGCCGAGCTTCCTGGCCTGTCCAGCTTCTGGAAGCGGCCGCATCCTTGGGCTCATGGCTCCTTCCTCCGTCCTGAAAGCGGAAGCACAGCATCTTGAAATCTCTCCGGCTTTCACTACAAGGACCCCGTGACTGCACTGGGCCCACTGCAATGATCCGGAATAATTTCCCCATCTGAAAAGAATTCTAGCATAAAAGAGAACAAGCTCCATCAGAGAGTGCCTGCTGCACCCCAGGCGCTACCCGTGGCCCACGCACCTGCTCCTGCGCTGTGTCCGTGCCCGGCCTGGGCTTTCCCGTCTCAGTCAAGGAGTGCGTCCGCCTGCACAGCGCTGAGTGATGCTTCCTTGTGGTTCTATGGCCTGTGCCTGCTTCCTTTTTGGAAACTGTTGTAGGGGGTGTTGGCCAGGTGGTGGAATGGGAAGCCTCAGCCCTCATTCTCACAGAGACACCAACTTAGAACAGGGACCAAAACACCGTGTTGAGGACCAGAGACAGGCAAGCGGGAAGCTGAGAACAGCTGCACTGCGACGGGCAGGAAGAGCTGCGCCGCTGCCCACGGCTGTCCCTCCCCCAGCCAGCGCTCAGCAGGATCCGGAGAAGATGACCCGCCCGCAGCTCTGGAGCTGCAGGAACAGAGGACGTGCTCTGGCTCGTCAGCGTTGGGGGGCCGCTGGGGACCAGCTCCGTCTCCACTGACCTGCAACGTGATGTGGCTGTTACAGCCTAGATGCCCGGGGACCACGGAAAGCAAGGGCAAGCGGGTGTGGCCTGCTGCCGCGCCAGAGCACGTGCGGAAGACACCCAGCTCACAACTTCTCCCTCAGGAGGACAGAGGGATGACGTGTGGGTCCAGCGGTCCAGCTCTGCAGAGCCTGCTGGAGGGACAGGTACCTGTCTCACCTGACTCAGGATGCTGACAGGGAGCCAGCCTCCTGGAGGATTCTGGGGACCACTGAGAACAAGGGACAGGGCACCCCGCTGCAGCAGCACCAAGGGCAGCAGTGCCAGAGCCCCCAGGAGCAGAAGCCTGCAAACCTCGCAAACTGCGTCCTTCGAAAAGGACTCCAGAGGTCCCCAGGGTCTCCGGCGAGACTGCCTGTGAAGCTCTCCCCTGTAGGAAGAGTGGGAGAGGCACCTGTTTCATCAGATACATAAAACAACACATGAGGCACAGGAATAAAGACAAAGTGTGGCCCAATCAAAGGAACAGGGATGCACAGTGTCAGTGCATCATTACTGCCTCAAATCCGTCATTTACTCAGACCTCCTTCCCTTTCACCTGAGGCCCTTTCTCTGTCCAGGGACCACGCTGCACTTGGTCACCAGGTCTCCCCAGGGGCTCTGGGCTGGAGGACAAGGGGGAAACACCGTCCTCATCATGTTTTGTCCAGAGTGCAAGCCAGCAGCACGACACCCCTGCTGACGCGAACCCTGTTCATCTGACCGAAGGTGCAAAGCGTCTCCACTGCGGCATAAACAGCACACTCCTCCAGGTAGCAGTGACACTGAGCACGCTGAGCACCAGGCCCAGCAGCCATGCGATACCCCCCACCTACTCCTCTCAACAGCCCTACAAAGCAGACACTCCTGTTCCCACCTCCCAGACAAACAGAGAGGAAGAACTTTCCCACAACACACACGTATGTATAATCATGCTACAAGGATATACAATTTACCATTTTCAACCACACAATTCTGTGACATTGAGTGAAAATGCATCAACTCCAAGTCATATTTTTAAATGGGACTTCTGTCATCCACGGAGAGCAGCAGTCAGGACTGGAATTCCTGGAGGGCGTCTCTGCTTCTGATCTCCCGAAGCCGGTTTCTTCAGGTACCCGTTCGATCCTCCCCACACACACGCTCGCCCGCGCGTGTGTGCGGTCTGACGCGCCCATGGACCAGGCCTCCCCTTCCCACAGGGCCCCGCACGTCTTGCTCGGTAAACACTCATCCAACAGTTGAAGGAAGGAAGAATACTCCACTAATTCCAGGCGCCTTGGCACAGCTCCACCTTGGGTGCCCATCCGGGGAGACAGGCAGTCACACCTCAAGTGCAAGCAGTAGAGTAAACGATAAACAGGTGGGACATCAAACTAGACGCAGAAGCACCACCTGGCCCGGCAGTCCCACCTCCGGGTGTCTGAAGAGGCGCCTGCCTCCTCGTGCTCACCGAGCACCACTCACAACAGTCAAGATACGGGAACAGCCGCACGGCCCCCATCGGAGACAAAGACAACGTGGTGTGTGCGCAGTGGACGCTGCTCAGCCACAGAAAGGAACTGCGCCATCTACAGCAACACGGTGGACACTGAGGCGTTACGCTAAATGCAGTAAATCAGAGAGAAAGCCAAACACTCTGATGATTTCACTTCTTTGTGGAATCTAAAAAACAAAACACCAAACTCAGAGAAGCAGAGATCAGAAGAGCGGATACCAGGGGTGGGTGGGCGGGCGAGAGGCACGGCCTCCCGTCACCCCAGATACTAGCGCGGTGACGGCAGCTCACACTGCTGCCGCGTTTGCAGGAGTTAGGACCACAGGTCCCGAGAGTTCTCAGCACAAGGAACACCTTTCCTTTTTAACCTGTACCTGTATAAGATACTAGACGTCGCTCTCTTACTGTGACAAGCATTTCCCAACACGGCTGACCCCTCAGCAACACAGGGGTCCCAGGCGCCCCCGTCGGGGAGCAGACGCCCCTCCTAGAACCTGGGCAGCCTTGGCATCCAGCGCTCCACACCCAGGGATCCAACCAGCCACAGGCCACGTGGCTTGGCGCACCCACTACTGCAAAAGCCGGTCGGTGCCCCTGTGCGGTCCAACGTCAGCTGTACGTGCCCTCAAACCACCACGGCGTGCAGCTTCACCTTGTCTGGTGATCACATCAGTTACTTCTCAGTAAAACCAAGAAGGAGGGCGGGCAGGTGACAGCCAAAAGATGAAATGGGGCACACAGCATGCTGGGCCTTTGTCTGTGGTCTAAGACAAAGTCAAAGTTCTTTCCTGTGACATAGAGAACTTTAAGGAGGGCAGCAACTGGGTCTTCATATAGATCACTGGCGCCCAGCATGGGGGAAACCTGCGGTGGGGGCCGCGTCGAGGGAAGGTGTGAGCGGAGGGGCAGTGGGAGAGATCTGGTGTGTGGGGTGAGCAGACTGTGCGACTGACTGGACGTGTGGCCCAGGGCCAGGAATTCAGAACGAGCTCCGGGTTTCCAGCAGAAGCTACCAAACAACCTGGGAAACCCTGGAGGAAGAAGAGCTGGGGGTGCAGGCACGGTGCTCAACGGTGGAGCTGAAGGAACTCATGCAATGACCACTCATGGCCCAAGACGTGCGGTTTCTAACAAACATGACATCTGGCCGGGAGCTGAAGGAGCTGCACGGACCAGCAGAGGCATCACAGACCTGGACGAAGACGAGATCCTCCCAGCTTAAGTGTTTCAACACAGAAATCACACGCATCCCGCGGACTCCAATACTCGGTCAGCAAGAGGAGACAGAGTGAAGAGACCACTCACTGGGTGGGAAAACCCCTGTAAACTGTGCATCCCATCAAGGGCTAGTCTCCAAAACACGCAGGAGCTCCCACAAGTCAACAAACTAATCACCCGGTTAAACAGTAGAGGACATTTCTTGAAAGAGGACATACAGACGGCCAACAGGCATGTGAAAAAACGCTCTCCATCACTAACCATCGGGGAAACAAACGAGAACCACAGTGAGACGCCACCCGCACCCCTCAGGATGCTATTATCAAAAAAGCAGACACGTGCCAGTGAGGACGTGGTGCAACTGGGACCCTAACGCGCTGCTGGACGGGATGCAAGATGGTGCAGCTGCCGTGGAGAACGGTATGGAGGTTCCCTAAGAAGTTAGAGAGACCACCACCTTATGATCCAGCAATCCTACTCCTGGGCATTTTCCCCAAAAAAGTGAAACCAGGACCTTAAAGAGATGTCTGCACTCCCATGTTCACTGCAGCACTATTCACAGTGGTCAAGACGCGGAAACAACCGGGAAGTCCACTGACAGATGCGTGGATCCAAAAAAGGAAAGTTGCGCCTTCCTAGAGTGGAACGCGGTTCAGCCGCAAAAACACGGGTGAGACGTGAGAGCGTGCTAGTCACAGAGCCACATGCTGGCTGATTCCTAGATCAAGTATCTGAAACAGTCTAATCACAGTCACAGAGGGCACCGGCGGTGGCCAGGGGCCACTGGGGATGGGGAGCGGGCAGTCAACTCTGCAGCGGACGCAGGATTTCAGTTAAGCAAGACGAAAAAACTCTGGAGACCTGCTGGACAACACCGCAATGACATCAACGATGATGTGAACCACTGAACACTCAAAAACTGAAGGGGGTAGGTCTCACAGGGTGTTCTTACCGTGATAGCAAATAAACAGAAGGAGAGGAGGAGCCAGACAGAAGAACCGAGGCAGGAGAGCCTGGAGAGAATCGCCCCGGGTCTGAGGAGGAGGCCTCGGCGGCGCCCCTGCCGACACCCAGAGTCACACGAGGGAGGAAGTGACGAGCACCTTCCGTGCTTGGCTCTGGGAGCGGAGACAGCCTCCCCGGGGAGCTCCTGGACTGACTCACCAGGCAGGTACCACGGGCAGCGCTGGGGGCGCAGCGGACAGGTGGCTGAGTGCAGGCGGCTCTCGGAAGAAGCCCTGTTGACGCGACCGAGGGTTATCTCGCTCTACCACCTTGTGATTCAACAAACTTCTCACACATCTTTAGAAAGACTGAGTAGGGACTGACAAACCTTGCTTACTCCTAAAATAGACCAAAAGCCTCTGGACAACAAGGCAAAAAGGAACAAAGGCGAGTCATTAACTTTGTGAAAGATGCTAAAGATGTACGCAATAAACGGTGCTATGAAACTTTCATAGTCGTCGAAGCTGTTCTCTGGTCAGGACGGCGCTCCCACGACGCAGAGGCTGGAGTGTCTCTGGACAAGAACGTCATGACAACCTGACAACGGACTGGATACACACCCCAAGCAGCACCTGGTCGGGAAGTCGCACATGGTCAAGAAGCCGAAAGCCCCAGCCGGGAAGGAGGAGATGCTCGGGGACACTGCAACGTCCCACACAAGAATGACACTGTGACTTAAAAACTATACTGAATTGCTGTTCTTACTCAAAATTAATTTAATACCATCACCCATGTTAATATTTTTCCAAGTAACAGAAGGGGTATTAGAGCTTTTGTTGCATTCACCTAACCTATATGGATAGACCACTGAGGAGTAACTTTAAAAAAAAGTCTTGAAAAAGCAAGTGACCAATGTTTGGAACCAACTTCAGTTTAAATGTCAACTGCCAGTTTTAAAAATTTGAGAGCAAACTCTTAAGAAACATTCACTATTTGAAGCGGAGCTGCCCTAAGACAATGCACACAAACCGACAAGGCCTGTTTAATAAAAATATTTAATGCTGCCAAAAAGTATAAAAATACAGTAGGAATGGCAGTACAATACAAAGTCGTCTCTCCTAATTTATTTCTTTTACATCTTTCTACATTTCATACACGCGTTAAAAAACTTAACAATGCATCAAATTAGAGGGTTTTGCCAAGTCTTCTGCTGGTGGTGCTCTTCATCCCTGGACGTAAGGGTTACTTTGTAAACAGACAGCCGTGAGGCGTCTACGGGTGACCAAGCCTCACTTGGTTCCGGAGTGGGCTTCGTCCTGCTTTGCACACCAATGGTTCAAACCTTACAGCTGCAGAACACTCTCAAGTCATGAACATTTAGGTGTCTGTCAATCTTGGCCTAAAACATAAAATAAGAAGTCATCTATTCAATTCGTATTTACCAAACACACAGACGTACACAGAGACACACGAACACAAAAGGACTAACTGGACTGAAAAGGCAAGGGGACACATTCCAGCACTCACTCCACCACACCGACGCTCACTGTCACCCCCGCGGGGCCGCTCAGGGACTCAGCTCTCAAACAGAACTGGCGGTGTGAGGCAGACTCGTTCAGAGCACCGTAAGTCGTCCTCTTTTTCAAGAATTATGAACTGTGAATGTTTTAGGTCATCCTGCGTTACTCGAGAAACGGCCTCCACGGGAGACACTGACAGACAGACAGGTTTAAAGACAGAGGTACCCACAGCAGGGCAGCAAGGTGATACGGCATGTGCTAGACTTACCAACGCAAAAGTCTAATCCAGTTTGGACCTCCACTGTACCACACTGCTAAAACATTACGAACGCAATGTCTGAACACAAAGTTGGCTTGTGTCTGTAACCTCAGTGTTAGCAGCACGCCTTCTGTCCTGAAAGGTGACGCTAGCAACCACAGCAACATACAGCTGAGGTGCAACTCAGGTTACTAGCAGCAGAAAAGAAACACAGACATAGAACAGTCGGCAGGTTTATGCTGTTTTAATGCCAAAAGGAAAGATAAACGAGAGCTTAAACCACCAGTAGAGGAGGAATAACTATTTCGTGGGCAGCTGGGTTTTTAATGTTACTTCACAGTATTTGCAGAGCTGAACCTCTGAGGAGGTACCTGGCAGCCCCCAGCTCCCCCTGTTGTGACCAGAACCCCAGGTGTAAACACTTGTCACTGCTGCGCCTCCGCTACGTAAACAGGACTGCAAACCACACCCACACATTCATCCAGAGCGTCTGACCAACCCCTCCGAGCGCTGGCTCCCTGGTGTCTACTCTTCAGCCCTGACAGAAAGGTCCAGCCCTCGAGAAAGCACTCGCGTCGGTGTCTGTGCTCACAGACACCACCCCCACCCTCACCCAGGGACCCAAGAACCCTGAGCCAGGAGGGAAGGACGACCCCGGCCGGGCAAAACACACGGGCAGCTCCCACACGTTTCGGAGTCCGCTCGCTAAAATGAGGGGCTTGATCTGATCGGCCAGCGGGAACGAAGGGCTAGCGGTCTGGCTCAGAGGAGTCTGATGCCGCAGCGCTCCTCTGGTCTGGCGGCAGTTCAACTGTTTCACAAAAGTTTTTTGGAGGGAGAAACTTTGATTTGCTTCACTTTACCACAGACTGGAGGTAGTTTCCTCATCTGAAAGTTAGGGTGACGTGATGTTCCAGGGAGGTGCAGCCAACCCCGGCAGGACCATCAGGTGCCGCCTCCCCCAGCAAAGTGTTCAGGACACGCTCACCAGCGATGAAATGTCACTCCCCACAACCAGAAGATCTTGACGGTAGCTGCCCCGACCTGAAGTTATGCCAAACGCACCCAGACAGTTCCTGCCACCAGGTACGCACATGAACGTTTTACTGGAAAGGGTCACCTTCTCCAGGTGGGCAAAGCACCGCCTCGTCGACAACGTCACCTTCCCTAATTCTCCTCTCCTGCTTTCACCAACTCAAACTTCGGTTTTTTAATACTAGTAATCTGAAATATCCACATCCTCATGTCCAAAAAATTCTATGCCAAGTTTTTAGAGGAACAATAAAGAATTGATGCTTTTCTTTTTAAAATTGTCTCCATAAAGAAAAAATTCCCATGCAATTCCCCTTACAGGTCTCCAAACATACCATGTGATGGAAAACCAGGCGGTACTGAAGTAGATTCCGTACGTAATTCCTCTCTAGATCCTGAAATTCCCATGTTCCACTCTGAGTTATAAAACCAAAGCAGAAAGAGGTCAAACGATGGGCTTTTTGTCCTCCCTGTGGACGGCACAGAGGCGGACAGACCACTCACAGTCCCCACTGTCAGGCTGCTACTGACAGACCAGCTGGAAGGCCCCGGCCTGAGCCGCGCTCACACAGGTGGAGCCCCGGGGTGGGGGGAGGCGCTGGACAGCACAGGACACGAGCAGGACTCTGTGATGGCAGCAAGGGGAAATTCTCCCCACAAAGTGTCCGGAATCCAGGACCCACTGAACAAGATCCCCCTGACAAGTGCTGAGCCCTGTGCTCCTGGGTAACCTGAACGCAGCCGGTGCTAAGGAAACTCCGGCTGCTGCGGAGAAAAGCAGAGCTGACTCCTCCCTCAGACCACTACCCAAGAAAGCAGCACCTTAAACTCCCAAAATAAAAGCTTAAAATCCAAAATCTGCATGCACGACAGAAGGGCCGCCTCAGGGCTCCCCTTCCGGCCAGCAGACCCGCACCTGGTTCCTGACCCTCCGCACCACGACAGACCCTCAGGGACCCGGGGCCTGGACATGAGCCAGCGGTCACAGAGGCGCGGTTCTCAAACGCCTGCCTGGACGCGGGAAGACGTGGATGAGGCACTTATGCTACATTTTAGAAGTCTGTAAGACTCGAACCTGAAAGTAAAAATCAAGGCAGATCAGATTTAAAAATCTGTACAACCATCAAGCAGGCACTCCAGAAATGTACCTATTAAAAAGAGTTTACAGTGGCCCATAAAGTATTTCAACCATAATCAGGTTCTGGCCTGTGTCTATCTGTACAGAATGCAGCCAGAGGTAAGCGACCTGCGCAGTGTGAAGCCTTTCTCTGAGCGCTACCTGATTCTGGACTACACCGTCCGTGTGAGGCTCTTCAGCGAGAGCACCTGAAGAGGACACAGGGCCGTCGAGGCTCAGGCTGGTTATGGCTTAGCAACAACTACCCCGACCTCGCACGCCTGTCGTGAGGATGAACAGGGCAACGCGACAGGTGCTCGGCCCTGGGCCTGGCACAGGCAAACTGCCACCGAGTGGGAACAGCAGCACGCTGAACTGACCCCGAGAGCAGAGAAGGAACTGACAGCACTGGAGGGCTGCTCCATGCCATAAACTGTTTTTAAAACAGTATGTTCTCAATGCAAACCATCAATTCTAGTTTATTTAAAACAAAGGGGACGGGGTGGGGGTGGGGGTAGGGGGCCTACACGAGGCCCTGCGTTCACTCCCCAGTGCTTCTACTAAAAGAACAAAACGTGAAAAATGAAACGAGGACAAACACAAGTGCACATAAAACCAGCTCGAGAGTCACAAGCTTTCCTCGGACACAGTGTTAGGCAGAGCTATTTAAAAAATTTTTTACTTCCTTTTTTTGTTGTTCATTCCTTGGTAGAAATACTACTACATAACGAAGTGACCAAAAATACAGACAAGAAAAGGACAGACCGAAGACACAAAACATCCTCTGAGCATGGTCTGAAATGGTCTGCACGTTACTCCAGAGTCCTCCGTGCACTTTTACAGTTTTTACCTCTCGAATGAGAGAGTTCAGGAGAGAGACAGAATTTTTATTTCATAAAGGGAAACCTAAACATGGAGAACTGCACGTGCAGGCGTTCTGCACAGGAAAGCAGAAATGAGCTGCAGACAGCTGATTGGGGACGGAGTGGGCGCCGGCGCTGCAGCCTTCGCACACACGGCACGGAAGCACGGCCGCTGTCAGTTTACTGACGTGGACACAAATGAACTAGGTATTAATGTAACTATTCTTTCTTAAAAACCATAAAGTCTCTGGCTTAGGAAAAACACCAGCAACTCATTCACCAAAGTCAAACCACACGCCTGACCCTCAGCACCACCCTGAGCAGGAAGCACCCTGCAGACCCCTGGACGACGCAGCCCTGCCTAGCACTGTGGCCCCGCCCAGCGCTGCGGCCTGCTGTCACCTGGCCCCTGGACCAGCACCTTGGCTAACAAAGGACCAGACACACCCCCACGCATTTCAGCGTCAGGGCGGGGGACCCGCCCAAAGCAGAGCACTAGTAAAGCGCTCTCCCAGGATCTGCCTGGAGGGAGGAAGACTGACATCTGCAGAAGTTCATCAACACGTGTCCACGACACCAGATGTGGTTATAAAAATACACTGTAGCAAACACACCACCCAGAGGGGCAGAAAGCAGACACGAGGAGCCGCGCCGGACATGGGCCACAGCGCACGCGCCCCGCACAGCCTGAGACCCCGGGAGGGCTTCACCTTCCCGCTGAAGCAGCGCAGTTCCAGCTGGAATTTAATGGGTCTCCCCATATGTGACTTGCAGAGCAACAGACTGCATTTTAGCAAAGGTAAACCAAGGCAAGTTGGAAAGAAAGATTTTAAACCAATAATGGCCTAAACGTGAGGGCCTTGGTGTGACGCAGACAGACACAAGGCGTCCCTCTTACCTCCCTGCGTCCGAGGCTGTGGGACCCAGCCCGCCTCACACAGCCTCACACGGATGCGCTGCACACGTACACCTGGCTCTGTGCCTTCAGCAGCTCAGCACACTAAGAAGCCTACGCAAATCAACTCAAATGCTGATCTACACCAACGGTTTTCAAACTGTTGTTTTGACAAAACATGACAAAACGGCCCCGTAAATTCACCAAACTTCATGCAAAGCTCACACAGCACATAAAGCAGAGCAGGGACGACTGCTTGGAGGCAAAGGCTGGCAGCTCGGGTCCCCCTACCACCTCCTGGTGACCCCTTACAGAGCCAACAGGCAAGGCTTGAAAACCACCAAAACAATGTGACTTCAGTATTTCAGCAATTCAATGTACAACAACTATTTAAAGTTCAAGTAAAGCAAGTAAACACTGAGAGGCACGTTAGGGTCTGGAGAAAGGCGGCACTCAGAGGGGCAGCTAAATTCATGAAACAACATGCCTTCAAAAGACCTGTTAAGAAGTTAAAAGGGACAGTGTGAGGTTTGAACATCATTGCACTATTTATTGAAGTAGAAAAACCTTGAAAAAATTTTTACTTCAGAACTTCAGTCTAGTAAACTGAAATCACGGGTAATAAAATGCTGCTCCTTATTTTTATTTCCTAAATCATAATTTATCCCAACTATAAATTAGGGTAATTACATCGACAGTCTCATGAAAAATAAACAGTATTAATAATGGACTTTACAGAAATCAGTTTTTTTTTTGTTTTTTTTTTTACAAAGTCTCGACCAACTGTTACCTGACTATGCCAGTTAGGAGAACCTTCCTTCAAAGATATTTTAGAGAAAATTTTTGTTTCTTTGTTTTTCTTTTTAAAATTGGGAAAACTGTAAAACATAAAAGAAATGCAAATATATAGTAAAAATTGCTTATTCAGAGTTCTAACTACTCATGTCAAACTTCTCTTTAGGAAAATGTACCCAGTACAATAGAATCAACATACAATTTATTTATTTTTTTATGGTAACAGATTTTTCAAATTGAGCTTTTAAAAAGTACATTTAACTACAAAAGTAAGACTAAATAGGTACTTATAAAATGTATCTACCCTGAAATGGTCAGGAATATAAAATGCTGACACCTACACCGAGAGTACATGACACATTACACGCATCACTTAAAGGCCATTTTCTTTCCAGTAATAATGTAGGTAAGACCATGGTATTTATTGCTTATATCAAGTGCAGGTTAAAATCCAGACAGCCTCCAAAACCACCTCCTTGTGATAAAGGATTCCTTAGTCTGGTCAGGTGAAACATTATGCTTTAACATGTACGAATACAGGTGAAAAGTACCAGTTGCTAGCAAGCACTCAAGTCCTTACTTTCGGCAGTGGTGCAGCGTGGGCGGCGCCCCGGGTGCGGCAGGACTGGGCACCCCGCTTCCTGGGGGTGTCTAGCCTACCACGCCCTCGGGGGTGCTGAGGGGTCCTAACAGACAGACCCTCGGGACGCACGCAACACCACCAGCGCCAAAGCCTGCGCGACAAAATGAACCGTTTATAGGGCATTTTGCTGAAGAAACAGTGTCCAGCCAACAAAAGCGCCAACCAAAATGACTGACACAAACCCCATCTTAGTGAGAACAGGTTGCCAATATAACCACCTTTTCCTTTTCCGCTCAGTCTCGCTCAGCCTCTGCTTCATCTGCTGCACCTTCTGCGCTGTGCTGGCTTTTCTGTCCTCTCGCAGGCGCTTCCGCAGGGCACTGTGGACACACAAGGACACATCAGTGGCAGGACACGACCACCGGGACATGGGCCTTAGCCCACACACTGATCCACTCCTCCAGACACGGGAATGAAGGGGGAACGCTCAGGATTCTGAATGGGGCAGAGATGCACGCAGGTAACTCAGCGGTAATTTCTAGTACAACTTTGTGTTAACCAACATGCTGGCAGGACCTGAAAGGAAGCACGGTGTCCCTCCCTTTCCTTCTTTCTGGCTGCTCACCAGCCAGGTGGAGACGAGGGGCCGCGCATCTGCCTCACCTGGACTTTATGTCTGACTCTCCTCCAAGGCCAGCACTTAACATCCCGTGAACACCCCACTGTGTGAGTGCCTGCTGCTATCTGTCCGCATATGCGTCTACAAAAGCCCAACCTGTCTCCCCGCCTCCAGACTGAACCTGACCGCCAAAGCACAGCTCGATGGTGTGGCTTGACTGAAAACCTGGAAGGCCTTCTCAGTGTCTGCCACATTAACAGCCAACTGGTCTTCTGACCAAAATGTGCAACCTGAAACTAGCAACGAGAAACAATCAGAGGGACCCAGACTGCAGGGCGTCCTAAAAGGCGACTGGTCGGGAAGCTGCAGAAATGCCCATGTCAAGCAAGGGGCGGGGAACAGTCCCAGGCTGAGGGAGACTGACGAGCCACGTCAACCCAACAGGACACAGGCTCCTCCGTTGGATCTTGATTTGTTTTTTAAACACCTACAGAGACGGAGGTCGTAACAATGTTCCAAAATCAGACCACAGCGATGGCTGCACAGCTCTGTAAACACTCATCCACTGAAGTGTCCACTCTAAGTAAGTGAGCTTTATCGTATGCAAACTATACCCCAATAAAGTTATTTTTAAAAAGCTATGAGGTGGATTTTTTGATAACTAGAGAAATTTGAATACAGACTACACATCAGATTATTTGATCCATGTTAAGTTTCTTGTGATGACAGGAACCTTCAGACACTGCTGGTGGGTGTGTGAAATGATGCAGCCACTTGGAACACTGCTTGGCAGCCCCTCCAAACGCTCCACACAGACTTCCCGCACCTGTGACCCAGCACCTCCACTCCAGGCACACACCGACGAGAAAGGAGAACGTGTCCTCACAGAAACTCTCCAAGACTCTCGTACGATGCACAAGCTTGCTCCTGCCCGGACGGCCCTTCTGCTGCTCTCCACAGCTGCTTCCCTCTTCTCTCTGGTCCTCCCACCCCCAGGGCCCTTCCTTCTTGTCTGAGGGCATTTACTCACAGTGAGCAATGCACGGTGCTAGTCTGCGCTGCCTTCTGCCCCTACAGTGATTAGCACCCTGGGGACTGCGTCCGTGTGCCCCGCAGTCTCCCTAACGCCGTCCTCACTCTTACTGACCACACACACAGGTGTGTCTGGCTGGGTGAACTCTACCTGAATATCTCCTACAATGACCTGCCAGAATTATTACCCAGAATCCACTTTCTGGATGGAAAACAGTGAAAAGTCACTATAAGCAGTACGTGTGTACCTGCCGGTGAAAACAATACTACGTACTCAAGTGCAGGCACGACAGTCATCAAAACACAGGAACACGCGGGGGCCCCACACGCGCTTCTGCAGGAGCCTGAGGCCACCAACCCGTTTCCAACTTAGACGGAATCTTTAACACATTTCACTTAAATTTTAATTGCAGAATAGAAGACAATTACCATTTTAATCCAGTGTTGTCACTCACCATATAAACCCAACATGAGCTCAGTGAAGTGAGTGTTACATGACTATGTAATTAGTGCTTTAAATACTTCGTTATATAGGAGCTTAAGAGGATTTTCACGATCTTTGGGGAAACTGGTTATGGTTTTGGTTGGGCTGAGAACACACAATCTTTCCCACTTAAAATAATGGCACAGAGGCTCCTGTTTTCCAGAAATGCACTACCCCTGTGTCTGTAGGATGGGGTGAGTGCCAACGCTGTTGGGTGCTGTTCTCACTCTAAGAATGCAGCTCCACAGAAGGAAGGACTGTTCTCAACTTGTGATACAGCAGAGTCTTCTTTTTTTTTTCACCTAGTTGGGCCCAAGGAAGCTATGTCTGTATGATAACCTGCCAAGTAGGACCCGGCAGGCCTTCCTCTGCATTCGCACAACTTAGGCCCTCAGTGGCAAGGACGCCACCTATGGGCCTTGCCTGTGGAGACTGCGGGGCACACACCTCCCAGCAGGCGTCCTGCACCCTGTGCAGATGGGGAGCAGGATCCACAAATCCGACTTCTGTGAATCCAGACTGTGTTCTCCACTGCCAGCCATCTGTCTGAGCTCAGGAACGTGCAGAGCGAGAGCCCCAGCACAACAGAGTAAGCTCACACCGCGGACAGAGCGGTCCCCTGGCCGGGACTGTGAACACGGCTGGTCTGGAAACCCAACACCTCTGAAACACTACGGATGTGGATTCAACCATCCATCCTCCAGCTCACCCCAGACGGGGCACTAGTCAAAAGCACCTGAGAATCTCACTACTGAGAAAGAGAAGGTAACTTACAGCAGTGTATCTCCTGACTTACAAGTGGCATGTTCAAGGAGAAAGGAGGAATAAACAAACAGCCTTATGCTTTAACCTGCAGTCTAAAACCACTGAAACCATGAGGAGTGGCACTGCTAAGTCAACACAAAATCTTCAATACATATGTCACACCACATTCCCTACGTGCTGCAGTCGGCTACCTTTCATAAAACTTCAGGCAATTGTTGTATCGGGGAACACAGAAGTGAGGCTGTGATGTACAGGAGACCTCAAGGATTTTCACAGCACATCCCAAGATGCCAGTGTGACAAATACGACTACACAGTAACATTTCCACAACAAGCCTCTCTGACCAAAAGGAATGAGAAAAGTCAATCAGAGGTACTGAGCCGAGGAAGTAAAAGAGCTCAGCCACTTTTCTAAGCGACCGCACCTCAGGGAACCAGCTTCAGCACGTGTTACTGAAAGCCCTAGAAATGTAATTTTTCAAATCAAAAACCAAGTAGTTTACACATCCATATGGATTCAAAACTCCAAAAGCACCGGGCATTTTATATGATTTTTTGGAAAAAGACTTCTTTCTTCTTCCAAAAGAATTAAATAGAAATATTCATTTAAATATCTCCTAGTTTTATTAAAGGCAATTATTAATTACACTGTGACAGCAGTGTGCACACTACGCAGCTACACAAACGGCAGGTGTTCACACTGCTTACTTTTGGTGAGTGGGCTTCTGTCTGTCGGTACTGGCTGCTTAGGGCTGAGAGCTCTTTGAGGTTAGCGATGTCATCCCACACCAGGGGACACCTTCACCTAGTGAGTAGCCAGCCGACAGGGGCCCACGGCAGCTCACGACCCGCCGAGCCGACCGCAGCAAGCCCCACCTCCCGGGCGCACTGCCGCCGTGACCCTACCTCGTGCTGTCCTCCTCCAGGGCGTCCTGAACTTTGGAGGACAGCCCTGTGTGTCCGTCACCGGCCAGCTTTCCTTCTTCCAGGCCTACCCTGTTCCCATTATACTTCTCAGTCATCACTTTGGTTGGCGAATGATCGAAAACAGGACACAAGTCTTCCTTCGAAAGTTCTTTCCACCGTTTCTGTGGAGGCAGGAGAAATGAGAGACAAACGCAATCACTAACATTTTGTTTTCCTTAAATAAAAAACTTATGAACTGAAATTCTATATTTAACTTTCGAAAACCCCAGGATCACATACAAATGAAAAAGAAGAAGGCATTTTACCGTAGCACTTCTTCTAGACACTTGTACTTCAAGTCCAAAACTAAGTAACAACAAAGCATTTACCAGGCATGCTCATCAGCACGCAGCAGAATCGGAACACCTGGGACTCTAACCCACGTGAGACAACTCCTCTAGGACCTCAGTGAAACACTAGGAACAGGAAGGGGGTTTCAGCCACGTCAGACTGTGGTGTGAACTCTGGAAGTGTGACCAACAGGGCACGCAAGTGTGGTCCGGTGTCCCCGTGTCTGCTGCCACTGTCCAGCTGCATGACAGCCCAGTGCCAGGACTTCAATCTGACAGTCCCCACCAGGTACTCCAACAGCCCAGGCAGCTGGTCCAGTGTGGGCATGGGGAAGACTCCTCTCGCATGCCTGGACTTCAGAGCAGGCGGGATCTGGACCAAAATGAAGAGGCGTCCTATTTCTTCCTATAAACAGAAACACTACACACCTCGGGACGCGCTGTGATTAATGAGGTGACCTGTAAAAGGGGTCTACCTTCCCCGACGGCCACCATCCCAGGGGCAGGCAGGGGTAGCAGGGGTGCAGAGTACAGCTGAGCCCCTCGGGATGAAGGCAGACACACGGCACAGGCCGGGCAGGGGCCGGGGTGGGGGAGACATGGAGACTTGACAGGGCCACAGGCTCTCCATGTCCTTCAAGGGCCGGGGACACATCCATCTCCCTGCCAGCAACAACGGGGGCCGAGGTGGCGGCTGTGACAGCCGATGGTTCTGACTGCCTATGCCTCTGACACCAGCATCAAATGCCCATTCGGTACAGACAGGAGTGGCCCTCTTTGAAAACCCTACCCTGCAAGTGTGGAGTCTCGGATCTCATGAAGAAAAGGTTCTCTGCAACTTACTGCCGGAGGATTTTAATGATTCTGAACAGCGACAGAACAATGCAAAACCTGTGGAACACTCACTTGCAGGAGCTATGCTGGTGCCAACGGACACTAGTAAAACAATCTCTGTGTATGTAGATTTTACAAATCCCTGGAAAGTCACTGAGACACGACACACTGGTTTCTGACTTGGCTCATGGTACAAAAGAGGGCTGTGAAGGAGGCATTTACCATCACACCCCACCTTCCCCGACACAGCTCTGCTACGAGGCTGCACAATTAATCTCTCTTTCTGTTTTCTGGTAGTCGACTCACAGAAGATAAAGTTCTGTAATTCATCATATCTGGAGGACTGTGACTAGTACAGTTTGGTTTGAAGAAGGAAAGCATGGGGCTGGCCTGAGAGGTGAGACCCGGAAGCAAGCCAACGACAGGGAGAAACCCTGCCCTGGAACTGAGAACCCGGTGGAGCGAGCGATCCCGAGCAGGGACCCGACCGGACCTCACCCACATCCAGAAGGAATATTGTGGCAAGAGCTGAGAACCTTCTGCAATGAAACCAAGAGTAAGATGCTTCTACTTGAGACGATTGTGTCAATTTTCTTCCTTCTCATAAAAAAAAAAGTTTACTCAGTCCAAAGAGCACTTTTGATGCTGAACAAAATGCTGGCGGGGAACAAGACGTGTCCTGAGCACGCACAGCATGCCGCCTGCTCTGCCGCCTCCCCACACAGCCTGGGCCCTCCGGGAGGAAGCACCCCTGTCCAGTGAGCTGCAGGGCAGAAGCTGAACCCAGGTGGTCTGGCCTGCCTGCGCTACAGACCCTCGTGATTATTTATATCTCCGAAAAAGTCATCAATTTTAGGCAGCAGGCGGTTTAGGGAAGTACCCAGTGAAAACGTTCATCTGTCCCCAGGAAGTGCGCTGGTCAATTCCTCACTGAGGTCTAGTTACAGCAACTCAACCTTATACTTTGACAAAACTCAGCACTGTCAACGAACAAGACGATGCCAGAAACCAAGTCTCACTGGACCACTTCCCAGAATATGCAACAAATCTGAAACCTGTCAACACGAAAAGCCTCACTGGGCTCACACGGGCACCTCTCACCTGCGGCCCACTGCTGACTATGGCAGCGTGACCTAACAAACTCTATTTTCCAAAAGGAAAAAGAAAGAAAAGACACTGGGGGAGAGGAGGGAGGCAGATTTAATGCTAGTGAATTTATAAAAGAAAAACAACAATGTCCTGTTGCTACGTCTCTGGGCAGCCAACTCGCCCAACCTTGCTCCCCCAGGACACACGCAGTTTAGGCTAGAGTCACTGGTGAGGTGGATCTGCTGACGGCTGAGGCCAGGGAGGGACACCGTGCTTGGCGACAAGCTGTCCAGGCTCCGCTCGGACACTCAGACTGAGCTGTCCACCATTCCCAGTAGCCCAGATGCCCCTGCTGCAGCACCACGGCCCACGTGCCACCGGTAACCCCACCCCACCCGTTTCGCACTGAAGGAAGCCCCTGGAAGGAGCTGCAAAGTGATGTAAGTAGACTCAAACCCCACTGAAATTCGTTTAAAGACAGTGTATCATTTACTTATCACTTCATTAGTAACGTCAGTTACCAGCTGGAGATCTTACACCACCACTTCCAAAGGAGCAGATTGGATCGTTCACTCTGCGAGGTTTGCCATCATCACCCACCCCGGGGGTTTGCTGAGAAAGACGCAGCAACACCAGCAACCACACTGTTTTCTCACAACCTCGTGCCAGCAAGACGAAAGGTCAACAGTATCACTGCTAGAGACAACGAGAAACGCGCTCTGCTCACCTGGGCAGGCTCAGGCCACTGGAGGTTTCTGGGGATAAACACACGTGACTGTAGTCACACACGTGTATTTACTGCTTTCAGATCCTGCCAGGTTCTAAATCATCGTCCGTCCACATATGCCAGAAATCCCAGCACAGAACTGTATCCAATAATGAAACCATCACTCGCATCATACAAATGTGCGTAAAGACGGAAGGTGAGGACAGGTGACCCGGAGGGAAGAGAACCAGACTGCTTGGTCCGGGTGCTACGGGAGCTCGCTGGTTCAGAGGGCGCCCCTCGCCCCACTCCACCATCTCACACTGAAAGCTTCCTTCTTTCTTCTTACAAATATTAATTTCCCCCAAAAATCAGAGGCAAAGAGGAGAGAAAGAAGAATCCTTTTTTCATAAATTGGCCATCACACCGTGAGACGTCAAATGAGACACTTCTATCGGCATAGGACAGACATAGTCACACGGTTTGGGGTTTCTACATTGACAAAGTAATTCCATCTCTGTAACAGTAAAGTTTTATGACTTTAGATTTCAGGGAACTTTGTTTCTCTTGGATCTGTGTTCTAAGATAAGGCTTGAGAAGAGCCTGGCCAATGAAATGTCACGTGACCTGCACACAACTCACGTTTCTAGCAGCCATGTTTTAAAAAGATGAACTTAATATTTCCTATCAAGTTACCCAGGACAGTTTTCACAGAACTAGAACAAATAATGCTAAAGTTTATATGGAATCACAAAAGACCCAGAATTGCCAAAGTATTACTGAGGAAAAAGAACGAAGCTGGAGGAATGACCCTCCCAGACTTCAGACAACAATGCAGAGCTGCAGTAATCAAACAGTGTGGTACTGGCACAAAAACGGACACTTGGAGCAGTGGGACAGAATCCAGGGCCCAGAAACAGTTTATTTAACTCAATATATTTTTTAAAAATACTGTCATTTGAACATATAATCAGTACCTTTTAGAATTCTTGAGATATTCTACACCTTTCCTCTCTGTATCTAACCTTCAAAATCTGGTGCATTTCACGCTTTAAGCGTAACTTGATTCAACTCGCCATGTCTCAAATACTCAACAGCACGTGTGGTTACCGGCCACGGTGTGAGACAGACAGGCGGACCCGCGCACGTGACACACAGCCCTGAGAGGGTGCACACGTGCCTCAGGGTGAGTCAGCAAAAGGGCTTCCCTTCGTTCATCACACACCTCCACATTCTCTGAGTTCTTTTATAGTCAACATGCACTCATTGATTATTTAAAGTAAGAAGTTTCACAGCACCACATAAATTACCGGTGCCTTGCTCAGATCACATCTGTGGAAACTGGCCCTCCAAGCAGGCAGCAGGCATTTCTGACCCTGAGCCCTGAAAACTCTCGTCTCCCAAATCCCGTCTGGATGTGGGCGGAGAATGCGTTGGGCTGAACGGGGCACTAGAGATGTTAGACTGAGGACCCAACAGCCACACCAGACCAAGAAAGTGGGGAAGAAAAAATTCTCCCCAGCCATCACAATGTGGACCACAAAGAAGCAGGTCCGTAAAGCGCATCTTGGTGGTGGAAGAGGTCCTCAAAGGAAGTACGTATATATTCTAAAACATTTAAAGAGGAGGGAAGGATATGCTCAAGGGACAGCACACATTCCCTGCAGCTACTCAGTCCGTGAGAACAAAAGGAAACAGACAACCAAGCAACCAAGGTACACGGGGAAAACTCCAGAGTTCAATGGTAGAAGCTGAGGTTTTAAAAGAGAGAGATTTTCCTAATCGTCAACATCTGAGACAACTTTTACTTCTAAATCTCTGTTCACTGCCAAGCAAACCCAGCACACCGCAGGCCTGACTTCTGGGGGAGAGTCCTGTGGGCTTACACTTCCACACACCAAGCATTTTACAGACTGATGGCACTGCGTAACCTCACGCTTCTCTTTGTTAAAAATTACTCTTTAATGCGGAAGATTGGGGGGGGGAACCTTTAAAATAAACTTACAAAAAGTTACTGATAAGTACAATAGATTATCTTGAGTAGTTACAAAAACACCAATGATCAGAACAAAAAAGTTAGCTACTGATAAACAGATCTGCTTAAGAAAATTCTCCTGCCTTTGGAAGGCATACAACACTTACCTATTTGCACTTACTCCATCATGACAGGTGGGGCGATCTAATTATAGAAGAAGGCTTGTTCAGAACACTCCTGTTCCAGCTAGTGACCACAGAGGTTAAAAAGCTGGGAAACAGTTCATTTAAGGGAAACGTCAAGAAAATTCTGTCGCTACGCCCACCGTTACAGGATCAGGTCACACAAGAAACGGGTTGGTTGCTGTCACTGCTCTTTCTGTTTACGCTTTACATTAGCACGTGACGTAAAACTGATCATTTCTAGTAACGAGCCTTTGAACTCAGCTTTTGCGAACGTGGAGTAAAAGTACCTTCACAAGAATAAAGTCGCCAACCACAGAAAAATAACACTCTCCTGAAATTTCATTATGCTCGCCCCAAGTACTCAAATACTCAAGTTGCCTGCTCGCTGTTATAAAAAAAATGAAAAAACTAAGTATTTTTGTTTGTATAACCCCCGGTCAGGTTTTTAAGGGGGCAAAAGTACCTAAATTTTCTGGTTATTTTAATGATTAAATGCTTGAACCATGCATACGTGAAAATTTTACGTGTTCTGAGTAACAGGCAAGATACAACCTGAGGCTGAGGCATATCTGAGGAGCTAAGCGTAAACTCTGCAACGTGCAGGTGGCCAGCTTCAGTCATCGCGTTGCTTTTCAGAAGGAAGGGATGAGGCAGGTGCTGGAGTGCAGTGCGGTTACCTGATGCTAGTCAGACCTGACACACAGGTACCACATCTCCCCTGAAAGAGTTTACCTGTATATTTGAGTCTCCTTTTAGAAGCTTTGCTCCTTCTATTATAGTCATGTATGAGAATCTGAGCTGATCTGGTGTCTGAATCAGTCCCATTCGGTATTTTCTCATATTCAGTAACAGCTGTTTAATGTTAATATCATCTCCTTTTTCCATCTGCAAGAAAGGTAAAAATTATTCAAGCATTCTGTTGTTAAGAGTCCAGGAAGAGTGCCAGACATTCTGCTGTGCACCAGATGTGCTCTTGAAGAGCTGGGGATGGTTCCACAGCAGCCGCCCGCCTGACCCGTCCAGCAGGTCCTGCAGCTGGTTCCCTGCTGACTCCAAACCAACCCAGGAATTTCGTTCCCTTCAGCTAGTGGTCAAAGGAAGGATTTATGACCAATGCGGCTTCTGCACTGGGATCAGCGCTCATTTTTTTCCCTCTTGTGTATATATGTGTGTATGTATATGTATACATATACATATATATATACACACACACATACATAAAACATACTTTACTGAAGTATAGTCAGTTTACAATATTGTGTCAGTTTTTGATATACAGCATAAATGCTTCAGTCATACATGAACATACATATACTCGTTTTCATATTCTTCACCATGTTATTACAAAATACTGAACATAGTTCCGTGCCGTACAGTATGAACTTGTTATTTATCTATTTTATATATAGTTGTTAGTACCTGCAAATCTCAAACTCTCGATTTATCCCCTCCCACCCCCTTCCCCCCTGGTAACCGTTAATTTGTTTTCTATGTCTGTGAGTCTGTTTCTGTTTTGTAAATAAGTTCATTTGTGTCCCTTTTTTTAAAATTCCATATATGAGTGATAAATGGTATTTTTCTATTTACGGTTTACTTCACTTGGAATGACAGTCTCCAGGTCCATCCACGTTGCCGCAAATGGCATTATTTTATTCTTTTTTATGGCTGAGTAGTATTCCATGGTATAAATACACCACAGCTTCTTTACCCAATCATCTGTCGATGGACATTTCAGTTATTTCCATATCTTGGCTATTGTGAATAGTGCCACTAGGAACACTGGGGTGCAGGTGTCTTTTTGAATTAAGGTTCCCTCTGGATATATGCCCAGAAGTGAGACTGCTGGATCATACAGGAAGTCTATTTTTTTTTCTTTGTCTTTTGAGGAATCTCCATACCGTTTTCCATAATGGCTGCAGCAAACTACATTGTCACCAACAGTGTAGGAGGGTTCCCTTTTCTCCACAATCTCTCCAGCACTAATCTATCGTTCATAGACTTTTTGTTTTGTTTTGTTTTGTTTTGTTTCATTTCAATTAAAGTACAGTCAATTATAATGTATCAATTTCTGGTGTACAGAACAATGTCTCAGTCTTGCATGTACAAGACTTCTTGTTTTCATATTTTTTCCATTAAAGGTTATTATAAGATACTGAGCATAGTTCCCTGTGCTATACAAAAGAAAAATTTTTAATCTATTTTTATTTATAGTGGCTAACATTTGTAAATTTCAAACTCTCAAATTTATCCCCTCCCACTCCCTTTCTCCAGTAACCATTAAGATTGTTTACTAAGTCTGAGAGTCTGTTTCTGTTCTGTAGGTGAGTTCACAGTGTTCGCTCATGCACTTTTGAATGCTGGCCATTCTGACGGGTACGAGGCGACACCTCACTGTAGTTCTGATTTTGCGTCTCTCTGATCCTCAGCGATACTGAGCATTTCTTTGTGTGCCTGTCGGCCGTCCGTGTGTCCTCCCTGAAGAACTTCTGCCCCTTTTTGGATTAATGCTCTTCTTTAAAGGAGGTCTTGGCAGGAGTAAACCTTTCTGCCAGTGCCCTTCCACCTTCACGGCTGGGACCCCCCATGGAAAAGCCAGACCCCCGGTGCAACGGCCCCCTACCCCAGCCGGAAAAGACAAAAGAGAGGCAAAAACACAGAATCCAGTTTCAACACTTACCATTAACAGAACAGACACCAGAGCTTTTAAGCATGTGGAGGTTCACCTCAGCGTGACAACGCACGTCTGACTGAAGCACCCAACAGCAGGCAGGGTGAAAAGTAACACAGTGGACACGCTGAGAGACCCTAGAAGTTCCTGACACCCACCCCGAGTGAGGAACACGGACACCCAGAAAGAGGAAAGGCACAGGCCGGGGCCGGGCAGGGCTGGTGGGGAAAGAACACGGCCCTCGGGCACAGACAGGAGCCTCACACACTTGCTGAGAACTCAGGAAGCAAGGGGTGTAAATGTGTTATTTAATTCTCATAACAGTCCGGGGGGGACACCACCATCATTATTACCCTCAGTCAGAAGGCCAAAAAGGAACGCACTATTACCTGCCAGCTCCTCTGTGAGAAGCTGCGGGGCGGGGGAGAGAGAAGGTGCTGAAGGACCCAGCACCTACACAATACAAGCTGCCAGGGAAAGCCTCGCTGGAGGCCGCCAGAATCACCTGGGCCACAAGCAAGGCAGCTGAAATGACGTACGTGAGATTCTCGGCTTTTTCTAAAAGGCAGAAGTTCAGTTCTGGATCCCTGCCATCAGAGCGTGCTCCTGCCAGCAGAAACAGCAGGAAGGTACAAGGCTGAAAGGAGACCGCCGGAAGCACTCACCAGAACCAGGCAGGTGTCCACCAGAGAAAAGGTGCCTGACCGCCCGATGCCGGCACTACAGTGGATCACCGCAGGCCCGTGTTCCGGGTTCAAGGAGCCAGACTCTCGCACTTTAAATAAGAAATTGAGAAACGAAGCTGGTGATTCAGGGACTCCGAAATCTGGCCAGGTAGTATAATGAAAGTGAGATATTGTTCTGGTTTCACCACTCTAAAAAGCGAAAATCAAGGGGAAGTGTTAGTTCTAAGTTTTTCTTCTAAAAACCTACTGCAGAAAGATGTGTTTTGTGTGACGCTATCAACCCTTATGACTTTTTCATTTGGTTTTTGATAATCACTTACACAAGTTTAGGAAGACTTTCTTGAGGAGAATTTGGAATATATTCCAAATTGCTAACACTTCTGTAACACGTACTATGTAGGCATGCTCTAAGCCTTTTATATGTTAACTCAATCCATACAACAATCCTATTAAATCCATTTTCCAGGTGAGAAAACTGAGGCAAAAGGTTACGTGACTTCCCCAAGGTCGCACGATCAGAAAACTGCAGAGAGCCAGCATTAGGGTAGCATCTGAGTCCATGACCACCGACCTGCACCACCCATGTAGCCAGGATGTTCCGTAATTCATATGCCATGAAAAGGGATTCTTTTTCTATTCTTAAACATTTCTACCAGAACAATTTTACACTCTTTAATGGTTTCCTTTTTAAGAGCTATCTTTTAAATTCTGCTACACAGACACAGAGAACAACTCAAGAATTAAAGAAAGTCTTTGCATTTTTAACAGAAATTGCTCTTCTCACTCCTGCTTGTCCCCAAGGCAGTATTTCCGACCCTAAAGCCAGTCACATGCTTCTGCTGGCGCGCTGAGGGTTCCACCCACATGCGGAGCGGTCCCCGTCACTTCCGGGGTACCCCAATGACCCTGGCTCCTGACGGACTCGCTGTGAAAATGCTCCTCAGCTCTGCCAGCCGGCTGCTGCCCAAGCAGCACCTCTCTGCCCCGCACCCTCCATCCCTGCAAGCGGAGCACGTCTTTCACCTTTTCTCAGTTTTAATTATAGGACTGTTTTGGAGGGAGGAGCCACAGAAGCAACATAAAAAACCCTGACTTTTTAATGGTTATGAGCTGAAGACTGCTATTGCTAACAGCACTCTCCTTTCAATACAAATTTTCAAAATTATAGTTAACATTCGTTTTTTTTTAATCCATTTTCCCTTTTCAGTAGAAATTAAGACTCCTAAGTCCCCAGACTCAGTTACATGAGGTACAACACTGATAAGATACAGTGCAGAAGTTCAAAAACATTTTAATTATATACTTTTAGTGACTAATTTTTCTTGACGTCCAGGTTTCATCATTTCAAACACACCGTGACCCACAGGCTCCCAACATACTCAAGGCACCAGAAGGTCTTCCGACTACCAACTGCTCCTTGTCTTGACGGGGGACGGTGCTGGCACAACCGAACGCACCATCAAAACTCAGAACCATCCACCAAAGAGAATGTACCCCACTGTTGCAAAAAGGAGAATTAAATTTACCGTATTAAAGCAGCATTTAACACATTTCAAATGAAGAAGGCAAAGCCAGGGCTTCCTGCTAGGAAGCCCTGAAGGAACAAGCCAGCACCCACCCAAGAGCAGTCTCAGGATCCCCCAGTAGCCCAGGCAGAGTGCCCTCTCGATGGGCCTCAGGCTCCGGCGGGCATTCCTAACCCTCCCCGCCACTGCCCGGCTGCAGCCACCGCGCACAGTGGGGCCACGCGTGGTCTGGGTGGACCTGCACCACCTCCGGGCTTGCAACCTGTGCTAACCCCACCAGGCCAGGCCACTGCTTGCTTTTTCTTTGTATGATTCTGGCTCAAGACTAGTGGCCTGTCTATTTTTTTCAAATTCAGGTCACACTGTCTGGGATGCTCAAGGCCAGTTCCCAGAAACACTCCCACTGTTTCTATAATACAGTCTTCCCCACTAATAGATTTTTGAAAATCAGTCTTCTTCCCCGACAGGGCCAGACACTAAAGAACTTCCTAGAGGTTAATTCCTTATTAATTCACTCCTAATGAAACAAGACTGGAAAATCAGAGCTCACAAAAATCATTTAATTCTCAAAGGACCGTACAAAGTACTCAGATCCATGTGGCTACATAAAGAACAGTTTACGTGCATCACTGGACCCCTCTGCCTCTTCTCCTGCAGGGAAGAAATGAGGGGGGAGAGGTTCTAAAGGAAAGAGCACTAAAACAAAATTCACCTTTACTTCACAGTCTCTACCCTCAGACCAGACGATTTTTGACCAACTCCTGGTTTCAAACCTGTGGGTCACCTTTCCTCCTCCTGTGAGGCCTCGTCTCATGGCTGCCCCGACACCCACACGCCCGAGGCGCATCCCTTCCATGCCAGCCCCACCGCGTCACTCCGCACATGCCTGCCCAGAGCTGTCAGCGGCTCACCGTCCTCCTTGGGGAAAGTCTCATTTACATTGTTTTGAAGAATTCTAACTTTAAAGTCCTTGAGTAAGATGACAAGCTCACACTATGGGAGGAACAGGTTTCAGGAGGTCAGGAGCAGACGCACAAGCTGGCAAGGCTGGACGCGAATCCAGGCTGGCCTGATTCGGAAGCCTTCTCTCTTAATCCCAAGTAATTTTAATAAATTATTTGTAATCCTCAAGTATCAACCTGAATGTTAATACTACTAGTTTCTAGGGTTTCTTGAGAGTCCTCAGAGACCTACCACACACAGGAACAACATCCACAAAGGCACAGCTACGGTTATGCGCCACGACAGGTATCACTGAGACACGCGGGCTGTCCCAAACTCCAGATCTAACGGCAAAGAATCATCCCTAAAACCACCAGAGGAAGCCCTATCTTTTGGGCATGAAAAGTCTTACATTGGTATTTCCTAACTGCAGAAGGTGAACTGTGTAGTAGGACTTCACATCTTCTGACAAGAACTTCACGCTGAATCCTGTTTCCTTAAACAGCATCTCCTGGTCGTCTTTTGTTGGCCAGTACTGTGCACATTTAACCTAAATGTAAGAATATGCGTTCAGCTTTTTTTTGTTTATAGACATTATGAAGCCATAAAAAGCTGGAAAAGAAAACAAACCACACGTACACAGCACATATGTTTCAAGTACCCAAATCTAAGAACAGTCACACTGCATTCAATGCTTAATGTATTTTAATACACCTTATAAAAGCAGGTTTGCAAAATGTTCCTATAACTTATACACTAAAAAATCGTATGTCAAAAAAAAAATACACCGATAGCATGTTCATAAAAAACCCAGTTGTCATTTCTGAAGCAGGAAACCCCGTATTTTAACATCACACTGCACCCATTCTACATTTCTAAAAATGCCAATCTCGTGTAAGAATCTTGTCTTCACACAGGATTGAAAAGGCTTTATTTCGCAAGTATTTCCCGCAAAGACCTGCCAATCTGCTGTAAAGAGGACACATCCAGAGACAACGCTGCATGTTCACTCACTAACAGGAGGTCGGGGAGAGGCAGGCAAGCCTCTTTCACCTGGACGTGCTGCACTGGGCAGAACTACTGACACAGAATTCACGTTTGTGACAATGAAAGCATCTTCCCGAGAGCCAAATTATGCAGCCAGCAGGCTGAGGTAAAGCGAGATTCAGAGTCATTTCATTAGGAAAAAACACCACAAAAACACCCTTGTAAAGCATGGCCATTCTCCTTTTCCAAAACACAAAGAGCTACAAATGGCAAGTAAGACGCCTCCAAAACAAATGGACACTATGAACCGATACATCAAGAGGTGCTGGAAAAATGACACAAAAAGTGAAGGAGCACAAACCAGAATCAGAACAGCACGGAAATGAGACGACAGAGGGGAGAACGAATCAGAAATAAAGGAAGACACCATTTCAGAGAGACTAATTAGCTCAAGGAACAGGGATGTGAATAAACACAACAAACGATGCTTCGGGAGAAAGGAGAAAAGGGGACGTTTTCTAAACAAAGAAGAAGTGAAGATACGAACAGGGTTGGGTAAAATGCGACAAATATAAAAACAGGCACAGGAAACCTAACACGTGTACAACCGAAGGGCCCAAAGGACAAGCAAGGGGCAGGACAAAGCTGGCAGGCGCAAGTCAATCAACTTTTCTTTAAAGGAAACACAGGAAATCACACACTGAAAGAGCACATTCTGCACCCAGAAACACTAACCCAGAATGGCCAACACGGACCTATTTTGACGAAGTCAGTGGGATTTGAGGGAAGAAAATCCTTCGGGTTGTAACTAAGGTAAAAGGACAAGTGACTTACAAAGGAAGTAAGGTAAGACGTCCACCTGACTCTGACGGTCGCCAGAAGGAAGTGGAGTCACACATTTAAGTTGTTCAAAGAAAGGCAAACATGAGCTGAGGAGCTTACACCTGGCAAAGACTCGAGCACCAACACGTAGGACGTCAGGACACGGTGCCTACGAGCCCTTGCCGAGGCTCCTTTAGGGAGTGAGCTGCGCCAGAATGACACACCGACAGACACACAGGTACAGGAAGAACTCAGGTCCAAAAGGGAGACGAGAGAGACTATGTTATAAACTCTGACAACAAGGGTACAAAGTACAACCTAAAAAAAGAGAGAGGATGGGAAAAACAAAAAATTACAAATTTTTCAGTGGTTATTTTGGTGCCAGAGTTGATTTTGTCATTGTGAGTATTTTCGGTGCATAATATGGGACAAAGAAAATGAGACACCCTACGCCACTCCGCATCCTGGTCTTTGGGAACCAGGCTCACAATGTGGAGAAAGAAGCAACAGACACGAGTTAGGAAGGGTGAGGCCAACCCCTGGTCCTATACTTAGATGGGAAGCATCAGTATGGACACTTGTGTGCGATCTTAGCACACACACATACGTTTCCTTAACTCTGTTCACTGAAAGGCTCTAAAACCAATGACCAACCTGGCAGCAATTAACATCCCAACTTCTGGTGTGATCATGGAACACCATTGCCCGTTAAAAGAAGCCAAGGCTCCTTGAAGAAATGGCTGATTCTTTAAGAAGAATGTAAGAGGTGCCTGCAACACGGAGTCATTCCAGACAGCAAAGAAGCTACTGAAGGGACAATCTGACCACAAATAAGGACAATAACTGCAAAGGAATTAATCGAATCAAATATGTTTAAATTCATGAGTTCATACTAACGGATCCCCTCCCACCTCTGCCCCTGCACCAAGCAAACCTAAGTGGTCACATGCTGAGGACACTAGGGAATCAACTTGTTTTGAAAACGGCTTTTCCTATAACTAGAGTGGAGGGTTTTTTTAAAAAGAAGTATTCCAAGCAAAACTCAAGAAGTTACAGAACTAGAATAGCACTATTTTATAACCTCTAATTAATTAGGGAACTAATGAAGCACTGACCAGCAACGGCTGCTAACATCATGGTAACACGCCACCACCCATGCAGTCACCTCCCCCCAAACAGCGAAGCCTGAATCTTACAAGCGTGTAGGCGCAACCACCGTAAGTATGATTTTTAATGGCTTAAGCGCCAGTAGTGATTTATGAAGATTTTTAAAACCTGTCACTTTACCAAACTTCCAAGATTCTGATAATAAAGATTCTAACAGAGCCTAGGGATTCCAAAGATCTACGTATCCATGTATCAGTACTAGTCAGTATTTGTCCCATTGTACCTATATTTTGCAGGGCAGCGGTCTGCAACTGTTACTTAAATATTTAAAGTAAGAAAGGAAAAGGATACATCGGTTCTTCTGGACAGAAAACACCCTAACTACTAGCCTTTAGCAATTAAAGGTCAAAACCAATGAGTGAATATCCCAAAGCAAACGAAAAGGTCTGTAAATCAGCACTCACAGGCAGTGCTAAGCTGTAAACACTGAGCGTTACTCACCGACTCCTTCTCCACAATCCGGTTTAGCATGACAACTGCTTTGGTCTTCTGCTGCCAAACCATGAGCCAGAAATGACAGCCTGTGTTAGGAAGAGGACCCTGTAAGAACGAAGGAGAAAAAGCAGGTAAGAGAAAGGGGCCAGGCTCCCAGGAGACTCCTTCAGGTGCGCTTCTTGTGTGAGGACAGTGTACTGGGTCATTATGAGAAAATCCAGACTTCAAACCCACCTGGATGAAAAAACAGGTCTGTACTAGTTAGGATTACTGATTATCAACAATCAAAGCTGACTTTTATTTACTTAGGCAGAAAGAAACTTTTGCAGGCTATCAGGTGGCTTTCAGAGTTAGGGCTGGGAACCAGGCCTGGGTAGGAACAAACATCAAGACAGGACCTGCCCTAGGAGTGTGGGCCTGGGATAGCGCCCTGGCCCTGTCACCACAGCAGCTGCTCTGCTGGCGCTGCCACCCTAAGGCGGCCACAGTGCCCGTGCGTAACCCATGGCCGACCAGAGCCAGAGTTGCAGGCGGGGATATCTACTGGTCCTGTCCTGTCTGCAAAGGTGACTTCTGTCCCCTGGAGCCCCCACATCACAAAGAGGGGGCCGCCTCCCACGGTCGCGGCTGTCCTGCAAAAGAGGACGTTTGTGCCAGCACCGGCCAGCAGCCCACCCGAATCAGCTATAGAAGGGTTTCCAGAAAAAGCAGAGATTTCAAAGCACCTGAAGCACTATGGAACCGTTCAGCTACAAAACCACAGAATGTGTAACCTCAAAAGCAGCCTTAAAGGGGCAACGTCAATACCAGAACAGCGCCGTGAGGGGAAGTAAGATCCTACTATGTACTTCCAACGACCTTCACAATCTGCAGGGCAGAAGAAAGGCCACATGAGACATGAAAAGGCCACGTGTGCGTTGTAACTAACTGTAAGCCAGGAGGTAAAAATGGACGAGGTTTCACTGCAAAGCGACTCTGCCTGCTCCCAGATTGAGCGCGGGGCAGGGCAGTGAGAGCGGGACACCGTGGCCAGGGGCCCGCAGCTTCAGCGCCCCACACCCCACCAGGTAATTCAAGTGGCTGCAGTGACAGCAACTGTAAAGACTATCTGAACTGGGAAACTCGAAGCATCTAAGTTATAAAAATGCTAGAAGTGGGTCGAGAACCCTGAGAAACTAACCCTCACTCAGTGTGTGCTGCTCACCGCACCACCTGCTTCCAAACCAAAACGTGTGGAAGTGGAGACAGCAGTGAGAAATCCCCAGTAAAACGGGGTTCTTTCCAGTCCAAAGAGCAGATGTCATCAGCTGATCCATGAAGTCACTCCTTAGTGTGCGCACGTGCACACACACACACACACACACACACACAAACCCCATCATGGTTCTGAAAGGGGAGGGGGTCCTCAGCCCTTCCTCTCACCAGCAATACTACCAGTCTTCTGTAAGATGGAGATATATCCCAAGGGACCGATACATATTTTTTTAATTTTTATAAAACTCAGAGGAAAAAGATGAGAAAAATGATAAGCAACAAAGGACAATCAGAGCAGCTATGATTTTAACAAACATTTACCATCTCTGGCTTCCTCTATCCTCTGAAGTATCTCTGTGCGTGGTCTCTGGCCCCGCGTGCCAGGTGCAAAGGCAAAAGCAGTCTCAGCTATCAGAGAGCTGACAGCGGAGGCGTGGAACCGCACTTCAAGCCCAAGAGTGAGGGAACCATCCACTCGTCGCTGGGAGCGGGAGAGGTACTGGTGCAGAGCCCTGAACACAAGGCAGGCTCTGACACAGGGAGAGGGTAGGGTGGGGAGGGAGACAGAGCCCATTCCAAGCACAAGGAGAGGCACGTGCAAGTTTAGGGCACATGTGGGAAAAGACAGAAGGCAGCAGGAAGCTGCACCTGCCGAGTGGGAGGGTCTCAAAGGCAGAAGAATCACCAAACTCCTCTTTAAGCTAAAGTGAGGTACGTTCCAAGACACTTAGATCAGGCTTGTGTGTCAGAAACATACGCCTGCTGGCACTGTTAAAGACGGAAGAGAGACGGAGCAAGGTGTGGCAAGGAAGTAAGTTAAAAAGTTTCTGTCTCAGTGCAGAGAAAATTTAAGAGAGCTGTGAAAAGGGCAGGCAGGAGGACGGAAAGAACTCGACGGATGTCAAGTTCAAAATGGCAGGGTTTACTGAACGTCTGTTTCATTCAAACAATGCTGCCACAAAGCAGGGAACTCGGAGTGCTGCTGGATGGACGAACACCCAGAGCTACTCAGGGCTGGAGCACAGACGCTCCGAGTCCAGGGTCCACACTCTCACTTAAGACACAAAATTGGAAACATGGTTCCAGAGAGTTGAAGCAACAAGTGCAGGCTGGATGGCAGAAAAAAAAAAATCCTAGATCAGAATATTTAGAGATGTCTACATTTTTTAGGACTAAGGTGGGAAAGAAGAACGAATAAATGAGACTGGAAGAAAAAGAAGAACAAGAAAGGGTGTGATAAGGGTCGGGCAGGGCAGGGAAATTACTCTTTTCTATTTTTTAACATTACAGCTTTTTCAAATAGAAAGTAAAAGTTTTTACCTCTGAAAACGAGTTTATAAAAAACATGAACGCACATACGAAAAACTTCGACTATCACAGAAAATGGCATATGGAAGCCTCTATCGATCGATCCCTAACCCCAGAAACAGGCAGACTAGTAGTGTGTGTCTACTATCTAGCCAGCCCCTCGCAGTCTGTTTCAGTCCTGTGACTTCCAGTGCTGTGCTATTAAACCTAAGCTGCAACGGAGGCGGGAAACAGCTCGGTGCTAGAGCAAGCGCTTAGCATGCATGAGGTCCCAGTTCAATCCTCCTGTAAAACGACAAAACAAAACAAGCAGACAAAACTTGGGCTGCAACACACACCCTCTACCATCTCTACGTGCACAACAGACCACTGAGTATTACGAACTTTTAACCCTCTGCTGCTTTGACAGGTGACAGTGGTAACTGGCTGCTGGTTTAAACCTCCATTCCCTAATCACAGAAAGGAGTCCCTTCCACAGGTGCGTCATCTGCTGTTACCCGTCTCTGAGCTGTGAGTTTACGCCCCTTGCTAGTCTTTAAACCGGTTGTCTCTCTTTCCCTTTCTGCTCTCCGGGGGCTGTTCTACCTCCAGTCAAACAGAGTAACTTTCATCTCCAGTGACTCAGACACAGTCTAACCTTTCATAGTTACGTTCATTTGAATATCTTCTTATCATTTTAAACTGTTTTCCTTTTAAATAACAGGTTACTCTGATCCAAACTGGGTTTTTAAAAACACCAACCTTATGAATATACAGCTTGCCTTTTTTCCCAACTGAAGTAGAGCTAACTTACAATAGTGTGTTAGTTTCAGGTGTACAGTGAAGTGACTCAGTTATATACATCTTTTTTCAGATTATTTTCCATTATAGGTAATTAGAAAATACTGAATAATACAGCTTGTTTTTTGAGTATTTAAAAATCATTAACTGGGGGAAATGACAGTACTGTTAATTAAACCTTTTATTTGATAAACACAGGGTAGCTGGTGTGAGTAAACCAACAGGATTCTTTCTGTTACCTCAGAGCGGAAGAAAAATGGTGCTGGAACACGGGTGTGGCCAGGGAGCCAAGAAGCAGGCAGGCAGAAGGCCAAAGGGAGCCGGCAGCTGTGGGGCCTCCCTGCCGGTCCTCAGGGCACCTGCCTCACCCCTCGCTCTGCCCTCAGAGAGGCCGGGCCACACTCTGAAAACATCTGCCGGGGCGGGGCCTCTGGTTGTGACACAATTCATGTGAAGAGAAACAGAAGAAGATAGCAAAGTACTCACAAACAAACGTCATCTATCGAAAATAAGGTAAGGAGGACAATTTGCCTGAAAAGAACTGGCCTAAGCCAAGTGTCAATAAAAAATTCCCTTCACAGAACGTGTAGCAGTAAAAGTTACTTTCATCTTAAATATACGCAGCTGCAAAACACTATCATGTCTACGATTCATTACATAACAACAGAAAAAAATGAACTAGCATTCCACTTCCAAGAGAAGTCAAGACATACTTTCAGCCACGTCTCAAAGCGGCCCAGGGACAACCCCAGCCGTCAGGCCCGCTCCACAGCCCAGCACTCGCCTGCGTGAGGATGTACATCCTCTGGGCCTCTGCTATGTCCACGAAGCTGGCGTTAATGTAATCGTTCTCAGCGTTCTGCAGTTTGACTCGGCTGTGGTCGTCTGAAACAGAGAACAACACACCGCACTGTCATTTCAAACTTGCCATTTCTTTTTTGTTTTAAAATTAATGTTCTGGGTATTTATAAAACGGTAGAAGAAACAAAACAAAGGAAAATAAATTAGCATCACGGGAGAGTTGAGTCAAATCCCAAGTGATTCCCTTTTTAAAGGAGGTACAAAGGTAGAAGCCCCGCCTGTACCGCGGCGTCAGAAAGGAGGCGCTCATCTGCGGTGGGCCCACCCCTGCAAGCAGAGACTGACCAAAGCGACAACACAGCAAGGGAGTAAAGCACCACCGTCCTGAAAACAAAAGGGCCGTCAAGACTCCTGCTGCCTGAGAACTAAGACCTCAACCTACAGAGCACTGGCCCCCAGGAAGTAAGACCAGACCATTTCTCTCCCTTCATTCCTCCACAGATCTGCATTCAACCATATTTAAATAATTTCTAGCACTTAACTATATTTAGACTAAGTGCTAAGCTACACTGAACACACTGGGAATATCCCAATTCTTTAAAAGACAACTAAAGATGCTTCATTACTCAGACTGTGTTCTAACAGTTAGCTACACCTCTAGTACTTAGAGCAAAAACCTCACAGATTCAGAATTCATTCTAATTTAAGCACGTGGAGCACAAAACTTTACCGTATATGGCTTTGGTGGGAAGGGAAGAGAAGCAGGATGCTGGGGAGACAGCATGAGTGCGGTAACAGAACGAGCGTTAACTCATCATTCTGAACAGACGACCAGACGACCGGCAGTCAGAGGACACGCCTGAGTTATAAACTCAACATACGTCTGAGGTCCGACTCAGGGGAATATGTTCTGTGATAACTGCCCCTCAAGGAAATACCAAATAACCATCCTTTCCCTCACTTCCAAGCTAAAAAAACAACCATTCACATTATCTCCACATGGAAGAAAAGTTTGAATGGCTTCAGTTTCATGCATCAATTTGTCTGAGATGTTTCTGCTGGACTGAACCCAAGGCCTCTGTAAATATCACATGCCATTTGCCAACAGGAAAAGCGACCGTGTTATAGTAAATCAGTTACACTCATGTTCTCGGAAACATGATGTCAACAGTCACTTTTTTTTTTAAACAGACACTTCTTTTTTTTTTTAAAACAGTCACTTTTTTTTTAACAGTTTGATCACCTTTAAACTGTTGTATTATATGAGACAGTAAAAAGGTCAGCTACCTAACTAATAAAGCAGACCACCTACCCACTAGATAACACGTATCGGAAGAATAATGCATGCTTTTGGAATGCTATACAATCCCCAAAGCTCAAGCTCCACTGAAGCACAGCACCAAAGGGAGGGGCTTCCTCACACTGCAGTCACAGAAAGAACACAACCCCCAGGTCAGTCGTCTCTATCGCACAAGCGGAAAGGCCATGCGGCAAAAGCAGCAAGAACCCACGAGCACTGGGAGGCGCCCCGCCAGGGCACTGGACGGGGGTGCGGGGCGGGCTGCCCAGACCTTCCACACCCCTGAGACCAGCTGCGGAAAGGCCTCCGTGGTGTGTTCTCCAGGCGTCTGACAGCTGCCCTCAGGCCTCAGCTGGGCTCACGGTTACCTTCTACACCAAGCGTCACTCTAAGTCGCTAAAAACACGAATCACACACCCACCCACAGAGCAACGTCCACTCCCTGGAGCCCCAGTGCTGACCGGGGGGAGCAGGGCGCTACCTGAAAGGCACCCCTTAGAAGGGAGGCAATCCTTGGGAGAACGCTGGAGCTACTCAGACCTGGCTACAAATGTTGGCTGAACATACGTTTTCTCCTCAGGACTGACTTTTTTAAAACTCTCAAGTACACCTACATCATTTTAAGTCTTCTGTTCCATGAAGAAGATTCGTAAAAAATGAAAAGTACGTAACATTTGGATTCAGAAGAGACTCTGTGTAGAGAAAAAACATAGGGGAGTTTCTTGTGTTAAGTAAAACATACCATATACCACTTTAAAACTATCCACATAAAATTATCTACATAACGGCGCCCACGGCCTCACAGAGCCCTTAGGACTCTGTCACCACCCCGAGCACATGGCCCTCCCCGTCTCTCCCACCCTTTCGCGGATCCAGCAAAGGGAGGCAGTGAAGACAGCTGGAACTGTGCTGCATGAGATGCCACAAAGTAAGCAAACCAGACTTCACAGGAAATCTCACTTCTCACATCGACCAACACCAACCGCAGACCCAGCCAAGAGACACACCCGGCCTGGGCAGCCTCATCTGAGTGAATGAAGACACGCACCCCCACAGAGCTAGGGCTGGCTGAAAGTGGGGTAAGCGCGAAGCGAACTTCTGGTGAAGAGTCCCCCCACCCTCAAACAGCAGGTCTTCTCAGAAACGATTTCATCTGTCAGGAAATGACTCGCTGGAGCGTGGCCTGGGCTGACCACACACTTCACCTCCTCTTTCAGTACCGTCACAGAAGCTCTTCCTAAACCCACCCCCCACCCCCCCGTCGCGCCTTTTACCATTACGGCGAAGACACCTCCTTCTGGAAAGTCTTCGCAGTCAAGCAGAGACCAAGGACGAGGAACAGAGCTGGGGAGGGGACGACGGTCCCCATGGCGTTGACTGTGCCCCTCACGCCCCCCCTCAGCTGGGGGCCAGGGCACCTCAGAGCTGATTTCCAGACCCCACAGCACCTCCCCACCAAGCACGAAGAGGTGTGCAAGATGTGCCAACCCTCCCCGCCCTGCCAGGACAACACCTGGGGCACAAATAACAGGGGTTTCCTCTCCTAAGTCAACCACGAGCCAAGAGCTAAGCTGGAACTGAAACTCCAGTTGCCACAAGCACCCATGGACAATGGAGAAGAAACACGGGCATCAGCACGCACAGAGAACGAGGCGGGGGCGGGGGCAGGAATTAGCACAGCAAGTAAGTGAATCACATGTCACAGCGCAGTAAACCCTGTGGGGAAAGAGCAGAGTGAGGGGTGGGGGAGGCTGCGAGGCTAAGCAGGGTGGTCCGGGTGCCCTCCCTGCGACAGCGACACTCCAGCCAAGCCTGGTTAGGAGCGTGAACGCCCCAGGAGGGCCGGGCCCCACGCACAGGCTGCACAGGAGCCCCTGATCAACGGGAGGAGAAGCAGCCTGCGGCGCAGGCTCCGGGAGGGAGAAATCCTAGACTGACTCCTTAGTCTGCACTCCCAAATCCAACCACCAGAGAAGAGGGTCTCCGCCTCCCTCTGCTCGTGGTGCCCACCAGCATGGTGTCAGCCTACAGCGTTTAGGCTGGCAGCTGTTCAGGCGATGTCTACTCAAATAATTCTAGAACATGCTTGAATTCAAATTAAGCTGTGGTGCCATTTTCTTGGAATGACAAAACACTATCGGCCCACCCTTAAACGTCGGCAGGAGATGAACTGCGTTAACTGACTCCAGGAGTGAAGTAACTCAGCGAAATGGGCTCAGAGCTCAGGGTGCGTCAGGGCTCTCCTGCAGATGACCGGAGTTCCGTGGCGCAACTGCAGGAGAGTGGGGAGGGGTGTGAGCACGCGGGTCCCGGTGTCTGCTGTGGCCCCTCCAGCCCACAGGCTGCGACGCAGAGAAGGGGCACGCTCCCAGGACGCAAGCTACCTGGACACCGCGGACAGCTTACGCCAGGCTATGGAAGCTCCTTCTGTTTCTAGTTTGCTGCGTGTTCTATCTTCAACCAGGAGCAAGAAATAACTTTCAGTAACCTTCTGCATCTACTGAGATACTCATACGGCTAGTCCCCCTTCACCCGGTTACTGGGGTGAATTACATTTGTAAGGCTGTCCAATGCTAAGTCCCTCTTTCCTTCCTAAAATAAACAATGCAGACACTGCTGTACTCACCTGAATGACCTATCGTTGGGGTTTTACATCGTTATTCGCGCAAGAGATGCGCCCGCAACTTCTACTCCTCTAAGCTTTTCTGGTCCGGATATCACAGCCATCCCAAATCCTCATAAAAGGGACTGGAGAGCGTTCTCTTTCCCTGTGCTCCGGCAGACCACGCAAAGCTGCTGGCCCCACCCCGCGACTTCCTCCCGGGAAGGCTGTCACTTACTACCTTGCGCTATTCAGCGTTACAGGGCTTCTCACACACTACTTCTCCCTCAGTCCGCGTTGGTAAGTTCTGTTTTTCCAGGAGCCTGCTCCATTTCTTCCAAGTGGTCACACCGACTGCCTAATTGTTCACAGCACCCTAACTTTTAAATTCCTTTTACATCTGTATCTGTGTTCCCCTGTCTGCTCCTGATGTTGCTGATATGCACCTGTCGCTGTCTCTCTTCCTGGTTTTTGTGTGTTTGCTGTCCTTTTCTTGCTCAGTCTTGCCAGTTTATTAGCCTTATCAAGGAACCAACATTTGGTTTTGTCTGGTCCTTTGTACTGTAACTTTGATTTCTATTCTTTTATTTTTGTATTATTTCCTTTCTGCTTTTTTGGTGTTTACTGTTACTCTTACTCTAAATTAGCTTAGACACTTAGCACTTTAATTTTCAACTTCTCATTTTAATACAAACATTTAAAGACGGCATTTTTTTTTTGCAGTACTGTTTTTGCTGCTTTGAGTTTTTGATAAGTATTATTTTACCTATTGCTCACTTTTAAGTTTTTTTTAAGTTTCCATTATGATTTCTTCTTGACCCATGAATTTTTAGAAACCTTTAAATATACAAATTTACGGGAATTTTTCTCTTTTTATTAATAATCTATAATGTAATCGCATTATGGTCAAAGAACACGGCCTGTAAGACAGCAATTCTTAAATTATTAAGATTTACTTTATAGCTTAGTCAATGGCGCATTTATTATAAATTTTCCATTCAATCTTAGAAGAATGTGCGTTCTCTAATTGCCAGGCATGGGTTCTATATTTTTTTCTTATTAAATTAAGCTTAACTGTGTGGTTCAAAGCTTCTACTTCTTTACTAATATTTTACATTATTAAGAAGTGTGTGAGCACAGAATTGTCAGCTTCCCTCTGTAATCCTATTCATGTCTTACTAAACCTGGAAGCTATTTTACTGGGCGGATACCAGACTCACAGCTGATGGTGGCAGGCATTCATTTGCTGAGATCTCTGTTTTCAGGAGGCAGGGAGCACAGAAAGCCTGAATGTTTTCCCTCCTTCCTCCCCACTAGCAACTTACGTAAAAAGTGTATTTACTGAGAATCTTCTTGTGCTGTAGCAGTGAGGAACCATGGTCTATCCAACTCGCTACACAACTGCAATCAGAAGTCCATGAGCTGCTGTAAACACTGACAGATGAACCTTGAGGACGTCATGATACGTGAAACAGGCCTGTCACAAGACGACACTCACCGGACGACCCACTTACTCAGAAAGCACTCAAACTCTAAGAAACAGAAGTAGACATGGTGACTGCTGAGGGGTCGAGGGTTGCGGGCAGTCTGGCTGTTCCAGTCGTACAACAACATACAAAGAGGTGACGACACTGTGATGTACACCTAAGAACTGTTACGGGGTAAATTTATGGTGTGTGTTTTCACCACAAAAACCAACAGCAAACAAAAAACCCTACTCTTTCATGGCCAGCGAAAAGAGAAGGCTGGGATCTCCTTTTAGATCAAAAAATAAGCTGGGATTACTATGCGCAAAGCGAACAGTACGAGGGTTTCGAAACCTGGCAGCAGTCTCTCTCCGTACAAAAATAACTCTCCAAGGGCCTACAACCAGCAAGCCCTCTTTTCTCCAGCAGCCGCCTCCTGGCCCTTCTCTTCCACAACCCCCTCGCGGGGAACGGAGACCAACGGGGCATCGTCAGTCACATCAGTTATATGAGGACTGCAGACCTCCTCAAGTTCTGCCTACTTCAGAATATCCCTCTGAAAATGTCTCATATTCATACCTCCAAACACACTTTCTATACGTCGGTCTAAGGATTTGTGCCAAGCTGGGTATCTAAGAGTCATGTAAGGAGATTATGTGAAAATACATTTCCAGACTTAATCTAGGAAGATCTGGGACTCTGAATTGAAAAGAAAAACGCCATCCCTAAGGATGGCTGTGCTCAAGGATGAAATAATCAGCGGCAATCATCCTTCCTTCCACTATTCCACGCCTTGGAATTTTTCTTTACAGAACATGTACTGTGTTAATAGGAAGAAAATCACCATTCTTCTCAAGCCTGACCCCGAATCTTTCCCGCCGCACCCTGGCCCCACACCACGTGCACACAACCCCAGCACTTACATGGGCTCACGTCTCTGTATCTGTTCCGATTTCTGTTCTCCGGCAACTTGGCCACTCTGTGAGGGTAGTCACGGGACTCACTGCGAATTTCCTTAAAATAACAAAAGCGCATTTTAATATTTCTCTTAACTTTCTTATGGCAAAGCAGACACTCCCCCAGCCAGAGCAAAGTAATTCCTACTAAGCACAGGTGGTGCGCCAAGGCCCACGCAGAGCACACCACCTACACGCTCTCATTCGGCTCTCACAGCTCCAACAGGAACTCACACAGGAGGGTGACGAGCTACCAAAGGCCGCCGAGCTGCAAGCGTGTGACCCAGGGCTGCACCAGGGTCCTTCAAGCACGGGAGGCTCAGCTCCCGCAGGTGCACCAACACGCGACATGCTTCACCTTCTGTGACAACCACTGCAGCATCGTACTCAGATCTCTGACTAAACTCTTAATAACACCTGCCTATACTGTGGAGTCTCTGTCCTAAATTTTTAATCTACTTCTTTAATTTCATGCCATATAACTGGGACTTTATTTTGAGCCCCAAAATAGTCTCAAATTTCTGGAGCCACAAACGCTCATCCTGGGGCACTGTGGTTCTCAGTACTCCACCGGGGCGCAGTCCTGTGAGGGCACACCTGCGCGAGGTGTCCAGCTACCTGACATCCTCACCGTGACCAGCTTTTTCTCCCAAATGGAACATTATTAAACCCAGGTAAAATGTTTAAAACTTACTGATTTTTATACGGTTTTCACTCAAAAAAGGTAGGAATAATTAGCTCATTAGTTTTTTATTCCTTAGTGGCAATGAACCAAAACGTAGGCAACTCCTGTACCAGAGGGCTTTCACAAAGTTATTTACACAGTTGAAAGGCTAGCAGATAACCTCAACGACCAGAGACTGGGAAAAGACTGGTTGCAGAAATCATGGTGCATCCAACTGAATACTGTGCAGCCACTTCTGCCAGGCACTCGCGTCAGCAGGAGCATAAGGCCACACAGTCCCCGGGAATGACAGCACACGACACAAAGGCACACCACGCAGGAGACGGGACCGCCGTGCTACTTGGGAGGAAAGCCGCGTCGCCCCTCAGCTGCATTTGACATTTACAGACGTGTGTGAGATGGCTGTGTTGAGGCTGCCATCACCTCCTTCCCCAAAGGATCTGGAAAGGATCTGAGACAAATCTCATCTGTTCTCTCCTGAGGAACATTTGTCTCGTTTTTTCTTTGTCCTGCATACTCAGAAAACTCCTCGGGACGCACCGAGGTGCAGATGCTTTTGGAAGGCACTCCCGAGAGACTGATCTCTCTTTGGCTCAGAGACGTTCTCCCGCTGTCTCTTCAGCTGCCGCTGCATCCCAGTACCCCCCGACCTCTTTCAGGAAGCCCTATCACAGACGTGAGACCTCCCTGTGTTTAAAACGTGCTCTCATAATACTCATTTCTCAAATCTTTTTCCTGAGCGCTTAGAGGTTTTCCCAGGCTAACCTGGTATTCTGCAGTATCTTTTCTGCTAGCGAGTCCTGAATTTTTTAACAATTCTGTTTATAACTTCCAGAGCTCTTTCCTGGTCTCAGTTTATTTTTACCATCTGCTTTTGTCATTTTGGGAATCTGAATTCCACTTTTCTCTCTTTCCTGTCCTACCTCACATGCTCTGAATGATGCAGTCTCTCTCTCTTGAAGTGCTGATTTTTCCCTAGGCCTCACGTTTGTTTGCTCACCTTTACAGAAAGGAAGAGCAGGCAGCAGCCCTTACTGAGCTTTTTTGGACACCCCACCATGACTACCCAAACCCCCTACGTCCCAAATATGTGGGTGGGACCCTTCTCTAGTGTCAGAGGATAACGTGGATTTTTTCATACCACTGTGTTTGGTCATTTCAATGATAAATAAGAACACCACCAAAAACCTCCTGTATGGGATTAAAGACCTAAAAAATTACATCTGCTTCTCATCTCTTATCACTTCCCTTGTTGCCAATTTTTACTACTGTTGCATGACTGTGTCTGACAACTGTCTTTTTGAAATTAGACCTTAAGACTTCCCTTGGGACTATGGGGTCAGGCTAGTAAGTGCCATAAAAAAAAGTATGCTCACATTTCAAGTCAACACAGGAGGAGGATTTCTTCCTGCCTGCGGGCGTGACCAGCAGAGCGCATGAACAGACCTGAAGGGTGAGCAGGAGGATGCCTCGTCAAGGAGGGAAAGATGGCTCCAAGCAGAGGTGAAACAGCTGTGCAAAGTCACAGAGATGTGAATGTGCATAACAAACAAAGAATGGCTGACTGGTGTCTTGCAAGAAGTATAAGCAACGTGTGGTGCACAAGAGAGAAATGCAAACAATGAGGACAAACTGGTGGAGAGAGACCAGACAGTGCAGGCGTCTGTTCACGCTTCATCCACCCAACAGACACAGGGATTCTGCAAATAGAAAGAAGGCGTTGCAAATGGGAGGGGGAGGTGGATTCCTCTACAAACTGTATGATAAATGCACACAGTCACTTAGAAAAAAAATTCACTGGTCGGAACACGACAAGGATTCCCACCTTCACCACTTCTGTTCAGCACAGCGCAGGACGCTCCAGGCACTCGCGTCAGCAGGAGCATAAAGCCACACAGTCCCCGGGAATGACAGCACACGACACAAAGGCACACCACGCAGGAGACGGGACCACCGTGCTACTTGGGAGGAAAGCCACAGCAATCCGGCAAAGAAGGCAGTAACGAGCAGCCAAGCTGGAAAGAAAGTCACTAAACTCTCCCTGTCCCAAATGCTGTGCTCTTACATGTAGAAAATCCAAGAGAACCCACAAAAACCCTGTCAGAGCCAATAAACAAATTCAGCAAAGTTGCAAAACCCAAAACCAACACACAAAAATCAGCTGTGTTTCTAAACACCAGCAACAAACAATCCAAAAAATGAAACTAAGGAAACAATCCCATTTACAAGAGAATAAAAAAGAATTAAATACTTAAGAATACACTTAACCAAAAAGGTGAAAGACCTGTACTCTAAAAACTACAAAACACTGCTGCAAGAAATAAGACAACCAAAATAAAAAGATACCCTGTGTTCACGGAAAACTTAATGTTAAGACGACAAAACTACAAAGTGATGTACTGTCAATGTAGTCCCTATCAAAATTCCAATGACAAGTTTGCAGAAATGGAAAAGCTCATCCCAAAATTCGTATAAAAAGTCAAAGGACCCTGAGTAGCCAAAGATATTGAGAAAGAATAACAAAGTTGGAGGACTCACATTTTCCTATTACAAAACTGCAAAGATACAGTAATGAAACCAGTGTGGTGTGGCAGAGAGACACACATCAACAGAACAGAGTTCAGAAATAAGCCTTCAGGTCTGTGGTCAAGTAATTTTTGACAAGGGCACCAAGACCACCCAAAATAGAAAGGACTCTTTTCAATAAACGGTGTTGGGAAAACTGGATATCCACAAGTGAAACAATAAAGTTGGACTTTTACCATATACCATACACAAAAATTAACCAAAAATGGATAAAAACGGAAATGTATGAGCTAAAACTATTTTCTTTTAAATCTCTCAAAAGAAAACACAAGGATTGAAAACCTTCATGATCTTAAAATCTGGCAATGGTTTCTTAAATTATGACACCAAGAACACAGGCAACAAAAGAAAAACAGATAAACTGGACTTCATCAAAATTAAAAACCTGTGTATCAAATGACACTAAAGAGTGAAAAGTAAACCTACAGTTTGGGAGAAAATATTTGCATTTCACTTATGTGAGGAGGTATTAATAACCAGAATGTATACAGAACTCCTACAATTCAACAACAAAAGGACAATTAAAAAATAGGCAAAGACACTGATTAGAACAGCCAAAACCTGAAACACTGACACCACCAAATGACACCAAGGATGTGGAGCAGCAAGAACTCTCATCACTGCCGGGAAAGCAACACGTGCAGCCACTTGGGAGACAGTGTGGTGGTTCACAGATCAAAGCAGACTCTTACCTTGGTATTCACCCAAAGGAGGGGAAAACTCATGTCCACACAAAAACCTGCACAGGGATGTGTACAGCAGCTTTATTCGTAATTGCCACATCTTGGAGGCCACCAGAGTCCTTCAGAGGGTGAGTGGATAAACAGACCATGACACATCCAGACAGTGGAAGAGTACCCAGTGCGCAAAGGACATGAGCTATGAAGCCATGGAAAGACACGGGAGAACTTTATTTTTTTAATTTTTTTTGCCTTTCTCATGCAGTTTATTGATTACTATACTGAAAGTGACAAACACAGTGGCTGTCTGGGAAGAAAATGGTTGTAAGTGTATCCGTCACTGACCCTGGAGATGGCGGGGCCAACCGGGAGCTGCACTCACTGTCGCTGCAGAGCATCACGCGAGAGGGTCATCCTGCACATCGCTTGCATTTCTGGAGGCTGGAAGGCCACACTGAAGGTGTCCCAGGGTCACTGCGATCCAAAGCCCACAGGGAAGGGGCTCTCCTTGCCTCTTCCAGCTTCTGGTGTTGCCGCAATCCTTAGCTCGTAGACGCATCGTTAATCTCTGAGTCTGTCATCACACGGCCTTCTCTCCATGTGTCTCTTCTCTTTTTTTTTTTTTAGGATCAGAGATTTTTATTTTAACCATATACACTGTTCTAATGGGATTTGACCTGCATTTTACTTTATTTTACTAAACATTTTTTACTGAGTTATAGTCATTTTACAATGTTGTATCAATTTCCAGTGCAGAGCACAATTTTTCAGTTATACATGAACAGACATATATTCATTGTCACATTTTTTTTCACTGTGAGCTACCACAAGATCTTGTATATATTTCCCTGTGCTATACCGTATAACCTCGTTTATGTATTCTACATATGCCGGTCAGTATCTACAAATTTTGAACTCCCAGTCTGTCCCTTCCCACCCCTCCACCCACCCCCGGCAACCACAAGTTTGTCTTCTATGTCTGTGAGTCTGTTTCTGTTTTGTATTTATGTTCTTTTTTTTTTGGAAGAACTTTAAACTACAGCACACAGTGAGAGAAGCCAACCTGAAAAGGCTACACATGTACGATTCCGACTCTATGGCATTCTG